GTGTGAAGCAAGAAGCGTTACAGTTTCACACAAATATTACTACAGGAAAATCTGGGGCTGCGGCATTTTGTACTTCAGCCAGAACAAGCTTGACTTTGCCGTGAATATTATTATTAAGGATGGACAAATAGTCAATTAGAGGTTTGAAGCAGGTAGTAATTGTTGAAGCTTTGCTAACTGAATAGTTTGAATAGTATGTATGACAACATAAAGAAAAATGACCATCTCCGTCCTAACCAAGCTTACTTGCACATTATTTTAAATAATCGAAACTAGGCACGCCAGAATTTTTTTTTTAGATCGATGTGAAGTAGAAGCAAGTTTGAATAGTAACAAGATTTAAATAGCAATAGGGTGCAAGTTGTAAGCAGTAAAATATGTAACATTTTAAAATTTGCTATACTTAAAGCCTACAAGCCCATGCAATGTATTTTTAAACTTAAAAATATATTTAATAGTGGTGTAGGTAATATATACATTCAACCTTATTATATGACTATGAAGCAGTGCGAACTTTCCCTGGACAAGTGGTTTCACAGCAAAGCAGGTGCTTATTGCAGTGAAATCATCTTTTCAAACCAATTATAGGCTTGTGCAAATGCTTAATTTTAGGTTAGAAGTGAATTTGAAGCTAATTGTTTACCCAGTGCTGTGTGCTAATTCATGCACTGATGAACCTGAATGAAGATTTAGCATTCCATTTAACCCTGAAATCTTGACCACCCAAACCAATTTCAAGCATTGAGAAGAATGAGAACATTCAAACCGATGTATTGCCGTCAAAATGTCACCCAGGTTTAGCTATATGACAACTAGTTATTTGACTAAAAATTCAATGTTAAAATGTGTAAATCCCAGACACTATGCTCAACAGTTAGAGCTAACTGCGGTTAGCACTGAATTCTGAGCACCTAGAGAAAAAAAAACAGTATGATATAACTCAAGTTCGAACGATATGGAGTGGCAAGTGGAACAATGCACAAAGCTTTTCACCTGAAAGGTATTCCCAAAAAATTTCTGCTATGTTGTCACGAGTAACAGGTTTTTAAATTTCGAAAATTGAGGATTAGCGATGTATAAGTGTCTTACAGGAATGTTAAAAAGTAACCTTTCCACTGTCTATGCCTGCCTTCAATTTTGCACAGTTTGTATGCATGTTGCAGACTTGGTACTTTCATTACTGACTAATACGAGACATGCAATATCTCTGATGACGTGAATAGCGTCAGCCAATGAGAGGAGTCTCAGGCACGGCCTGCCACAATAACCAGAGTTCCTAAATCATACAAGGTGTGAAACTCCTCACAATCTCTACGTATAAAATCCAGACATGCCATTAGCCAAAATCGCGGAGGTTTCCGGAATTGCAGCTGCTACTTGTATGCAGACGAAATAGCTAATAAATGGCATTCTTGTGTGTTGCATTTTGCACAGGCAACAACGCTGCATCTTTTTTAAAAAAGCACTGTCACAAAATTATAAAAGCAAGTTAACTTGTGAGATATGTTTACGTGAATGCACAATCTACAAAATATCAATGGCTAAGACAGCCTATAACACATTTAAAGTCAATTTTAAAGTGCATGTCATGCGTTTGCACTATTTAAGTTTCCTTACTGCTGTGTTTTTTAACTGCTGGTTTGCTACATAGCTTTCTGTACAGTCCTGGCACAGCTTTCATAGAATCGATCGTTTAAAACACAATGAAAAATATGTATACCATAATATTCGAATCTAACCCGATAGTTTTTTTTTCAAACTTCTTCGTATCAAACTCCAGGGATGGCTTAGACTCGAGGATATTAAAAAAAATGCGCTATTTTTCATAGAGAACAGTGGTGCACAACTAGCGCCACCAAGACGGTATTCTAGCAGTTAGTAGCCGAGCCAACACTTGGCTTAAGGTACACACAAGAGGCCTCCATTTTGATATTTTTGGTAGTGGAGCAAGACACCCCCCTTATGACATCAAATCCAGCTTGGTTTTAATGTAAAAGCAACAAACAGCCGCCTGCATCACGAGGCTTCGTAGGCTGTCGTGACCTTTGCAAGCGCTCTCTTCTCAGGGTACTTTTTGAGGGAAAGTAAGGGGACATTCTTTATGAACTTGCACAGGAATACAAAGAAAAATAGAAAAAGGCCGATACGCAGTGCATTTTTGGGAAATCACACACATATGTATGCAACATCCCAGAGGGGACTACAGCAGCACCTGGACAGCCTATATTGAAAAGAGTTGTCAATGCAGTGCTCATGTGAATATGGTTTTGTGAGCTCACATAATCAACTATGTTTACAAGAAAACCATACTGGGTCCTGTTTTCCTGCTTCACTTGGCGCTCCTTGAAACCCAAACTACGACTAGGCACTATAGAATCGTCTTCACATAATTAACCGTCGCGCACTCAAGCAAAAAAGTTGTCCCACTGTGATTAAGGGGCAGTTAGTTACTCAAAAAAAAAAATGAAACATTTTTGTGTCAGTATTCCCTTATGCGAGCAGGATGTTTACGTTTGAGTCTTTCCATTTGAAGAGGATACTGCAGCCATGGAACTCTTCAGCCTTTTTAAGTGCTTCTTCTGATTCTTGCTATGGCAAGTCGCACAATGACAACAAGAATGTGCCGCATTTTCTACGATTCCTCAAGGCAGTGTGCATGTTTGCTCTCCTCCACAAATTTGTCCATGGGCATGTCCGGACTTAGGAACAGACTTTTCCAAATGATATGACTAAAGAACTCCCAGACTACATTGCAATAGACGACTACAATGCCGGCTGGTTAACTGATGGAATGTTTAGATGACACGTTCGCTCGAGAGAGCTTTCTTGGCCTAAGACGCACCTGGACTCGCGCCTAGGCTCGCACCTGGACTCGCCTGTCGTACTGTCGCTTGTCTCGCACTGTGAAGGCTTTTGCGAAGCCCCTGCCATTTTTGAGAGATTAGCGTGGGCTCGGTCGTCTGGCGCCGAGCGCTGTGTCGTTTGCGCGAACTGAGAAAAAGTCAGCAGAATTTCGCACAGGTTTCGAGCATATTAGTTTCAAAAGAAAAGAGTTGGGCTAGTTGGCTTGTGTTCACATTGGAACAGCGCAGAGACGAATCACAAAGGATGACGTGCATAGGTTGCATGTGCATGTTTTGTTGTTCCTTCTTTCCACTGCTTTTCTGTTTCGTTTGAATAAAGCAACCAGTTGTCAAACAGCGCTTGTGTTGTTTAGTCTCCCTTTAGGATTGGTCTCTGTGCTGTTCCAATATGAACATATTAGTTTCACCATAATGAATAGAGACCACCTAATGCAGGTTATGTCTTGACCTAGCTATAACTTGACCTCCACTCCAGTGATACAAATGGCACATTTTCCAACATCAAATATTTTTTTCACTGAAATAAAAATCGGTGAAGAACTTTTGCGAAACAATATGAAATTGATCTGCGTCATGCTCACACAGGAACACATCTTGGAAAAAAAAAATTTACAGTGAGTGACATAAATTCGATGTATAATGGGTCAATATTACTAGTGGCACAGAAGAATAGTTAACTCTGCTTTCCACAATTCGATAATTTTTTAGCAATAGGTCTCCAAAGGTGTTAAATCTGAATGTTGCAAAGTTTTTTTTTTCACCTGTAGTGAAATATAAACACTTTAAAAAAATCAGGGCAAATTTTACAAAACCAGGCATGGCTTTGCACATAATTGAGACTTTCAAATGACAAATTTTGTATTTGACTCATCTAGTGTTCTCAAATGCCAGTTATACAAAAGCAAAATGCTATGTTTTGCACTTAGTATAACCTTAGTTCATGAAATGTACACTAGATTGAACCAATTTTTTTTTATTCTCAGGTACATTGATAGTTTTTTATTGCCTAAGAGATTGTACTTCCAGCCATCATCAATGCCACTTAAATTCTAAAGAGTGCCAGGCAGTGCCTGACGCCATCTCAAGTCACTCACAAACTGCTTGCTGCCACCAGCATTACGCTTATGCTCCGGTGATAATCACTAGCGCTGACGCAACAGTCACCCTACCAAGAAGACCCTTGCTCGATTTCACTCTGAACTCCATAAAAGAACCGAATAGAGATTAAAATTTTGAGGTTATAATCTGTAGCACTCTGAACACTATTCGTTGCTCTGTGGAGTACCATTATGCCATTATTCACCATTCTGCAGGAAAGCGAGGTATCCACTACACGTCTTTAAGACATTATGTGCGCTTCGTTAATGCTGTAGTGCATGACTAAGTAGTTTGAGAGAGCCCTTTGCGAAGCGTAGAAAACTAAATTATGCGCTTGTTACTCATTTTGCATAGTGTGACAGCAGGTGCTATTCTCCTCTTCCACCACATTCACATTATATTACCTCTGCTAACATGGTTCCATGCCCGACATGAAGCCTGTATAGTGTCTTTTAGCTAGAGTTTTAAGCCCCAACATGACTGTAGTAGAATACCGGACTGCGGCGCAGATGTCCTGGGTCTGAATCCTGCTCATTCTTTGATACTTTTTTTTTCATTGTGCACAATAGCTGTTAGTATCGACACCAGCAGTGGCAGCGGACAACTACACCACCAAGGCTGACTGTTGTTGCGAGTTATCTTATAAAAGCTCTCACTGTGCAAATCGCAGCGAGACGCGATGCAAATCGCAGCGAGATGCGAGACTAATCTGCTTCTATTTCGCATGCGTTTATATTCTCGTGCTTTGCGCATCGTGCAAACACTATCCGTGTTCCAGTGCCAGTAAGGCTCATTTATCCTCCTGCTTGAGGGGGAGGCACCACGGTTGACACCATGCCAGGGGCCGAACGGACACCGGTCACCGCGAGTACGAGATGTTGAAGGCTTCCGCCTCAATACGATTGCCATAGGAATGCGTACACGTGCTTTGAGTGAATTTCTGCATGATGGCTGGGCACACGACCGAAGCACCAGACTGACCCAAGTGATGTTTGTGTGAAACGTCACGCGCAGCAGTGAGAAGTGAGGAGCACTGACACCACCTTCCGGGCCACTGAGACTCCTTGTCCGTCAGTGGCACGTAGACGACGCCCATGAGGGAGGTGCGCCGCACCGTGCCGTCCTCCAGTTTGTCCACCTGCTCCAGCGTCTGGCTCGCACCGGCCGGTCCGACGGGGCAGATCAGGCGTCCACCGGGCTTCAGCTGTTCCACCAGCTGCACAACCGATCCATGAACAGCCACACCTCATTACAGTGATGTCTCTAGGCGCGGGCGAATATTCAAGCAATTTGAATAATCGAAAGCATCGTGAGCATTCAAATTTGCCTCGAAGCAAACTTAAATTACTTGAAATTTTGAAGTATTGTGAGGAACTGCTTTATTCAGCCAGGCTTGAGCTAAATCACGCTGGTGATGATATTTACAGATAAAGAAGATGTACAGGTGATAATGTTATCAAATTGAATAAAGAGTCATTCCCTTGTCGCGCTCACACTAATTCTCCCGCGCGGTGAAAGCGGCCGCCTGGTCGCTTGACAGTATTATGAAATGCGTCGCGCATAAGGCTTTAAACGAGATACGTGCACTATCTCTGTTCCTCCGCAACGATGATCAGGATTAGGGCTAAGAGGAGAAACGCGATGATTGACAGGAGATGTCTGTTCGACCACCGTGTACTGCACAATGAAGCGACTGATAAATTTGTCGCATAGGCCGGGGACGCGTAGTGGAGTCCATAGAAGAACTTTGTCATCAGGGAAAAAACTCACAGCACCGCAAGACGAGTCGTAGCGAGATTTTCTAGTGTCTTGAAAAAAGCCGGTGTTAACATCGGCCTGGTGACGGCAGTGTGCGAGACGAGACAGAAATTCTTCAGAGAAAGGAGCCGTCGAGGGTGCAGGGGCCGAAAGGAAAGAGACATCCACAGCGAAACTCGGCGAGCGACCATGGACGAGAAAAAATGGAGAAAAGCCGGTAGTGCGTTGAGCAGCCGTATTATAGGCGAATGTCACGAAGGCCAGAATTGCATCCCAGTTCGTGTGGTTGGGGTGAATGTACATGGCGATCATGTCCCATAGGGTCCGATGAAACCGTTCAGTCAATCCGTTGGTCTGCGGGTGGTAGCTAGAAGTGGTCTTGTGAACAGTGTTCGAGGCACGCAAAACTTGCTTGACAATGGAAGAGAGAATGACTTTGCCACGATCACTCAGGAGAATGCGTGGAGCTCCATGACGCAAAAAGATATGGCGAAGAAAGAAATCTGCGATCTCAGTGGCAGTCCCAGATGGTATAAAAGCTGTTTCTGCGTAGCGGGTAAGGTGGTCGACGGCCGTGACAATCCAGCGATTCCCATTGGATGATATAGGAAGAGGGCCATACAAGTCAATTCCAACGACTTCAAAAGGCGAGGCGGGACAAGGAAGAGGTTGGATTAAGCCAGCCGGAGCATTTGTCGGTTGTTTTCGCCGTTCGCAATGGACACAGGAGGTGACGTACTTGGCGACGCCTGAAGAGAGGGCAGGCCAAAAACAACGAGTTCATATTTTGTGGTAAGTCTTTGTGATAGCCTAGATGAGCGGCGGTTGGATCATCATGAAAGGCTTCCAGAACTTCACGTTGCAGAGAACGTGGGATGACGGGTACCCACTTGTTGCCATCGATGTGGTAAATGTAGCGACATAAAGCATCACCGACAAGCTTAAATTGTTTAAGTTGTCGACGGAGTCTGGCGTTTGGAGGAGTAGTAGAGCCGGTCAAGCGGTCAACAATAATGCGGCAGTATGGGTCGACACGTTGTTGTGAAACAAGGACGGATAGGGTGGCAGGTGATGAACTTAGCGCTGCGATTGGAGAGGTGCTGTCGTTTTGGAGTATCGATGGTGAGTGGCTTCCGCTGGGCAAAGGACAGCGCGATAGAGCATCAGAATCTTGATGCTTCTTCCCAGATCTGTAGGCGACATCGAAATCATACTCCTGCAAGCGAAGCGCCCAGCGACCGAGGCGACCCGAGAAGTTTTTCAGCGATGAAAGCCAGCATAGGGCGTTATGGTAGGTCACGACAGTAAAATGACGGCCGTGAAGATATGGTCGGAATCTTTGCACTGCCCAAACAACAGCAAGGCGCTTCTGCTCGGTGATAGTGTAGTTCTCTTCTGGAGCGGTAAGAGCACGATTTGCGTAAGCAACGATGCGTTCGCGTGAGTTTTTGTCACGCTGCAAGAGTACCGCACCAAGACCATGACTACTTGCGTCGTTGTGAAGGATGGTGGGTGCGGTGGAATCGAAGTGGCACAGTAACGGATCTGACGTGAGGGCTTGCTTCAATGCCGTGAAAGCGCTTTCACAGTCTTCGGACCAAATGAAGGGGACGTTCTTTGCGAGGAGTTGATGGAGCGGAGATGCAAGTTCCGCGAAGCCACGTATGAAGTGCCGGAAGTAAGAAAATAACCCAAGAAAGCTGCGCAGGTCCCTTTGACGTAGTGGACGAGGAAAATCGAGGACGGCGGCAAGCTTCTCGGGGTCGGGCCGAATTCCTTCTTTGCTGACAAGGTGGCCGAGAACCCTGATTGTCTTGCTAGCAAAGGTACATTTCTTGGTGTTAAGCTGTAGACCGGCTTTTGCAAGGCATGTGAGGACTTCGTCAAGACGTTGTAGATGCTGCGAGAACGTGGATGAAAACACTACTATGTCATCAAGATAGCACAGACACGTTTTCCATTTCAAACCATGCAATACGCCGTCTATCATGCGTTCGAAGGTGGCGGGCGCATTACAGAGTCCGAAAGGCATCACATTAAACTCGTACAACCCATCTGGCGTTGAAAAGGCGGTCTTCTCTTTATCAGGCTGCGACATTGGTATCTGCCAGTAGCCTGACCTAAGGTAGAGGCTAGAAAAATACTCTGCAACCCTGTAATGAATCCAGTGCATCGTCGATTCGAGGGAGGGGATAAACATCCTTGCGCGTTATTTTGTTTAGCGCAAGGTAATCGACGCAGAAACGCACTGTCCCATCTTTCTTTTGAATGAGAACAAATGGGGATGACCAAGGACTCGACGAAGGACGTATGATGTTGCGTCGTAGCATGTCTGAGACGTTTTCCTCAATGATCTTGCGTTCTGCCTGAGACACGCGGTATGGACGCCGATGTACAATACGAGAGTCGTCAGTCTGGATGCTGTGAGTAGCGGTGGTAGTCATGCTGAGGGCGGGCGAGTTCACGTCAAATAGAGAACGGTGTCTATTTAACAGGGCAAGCAAATCTTCAGTTTGATCAGGTGTTAAGTCATTGCTTATTGTTGCGGACACAAGTGTGGCAGAGGCATTGAATGGCAGTGATTGTGACTTCGGAACATCGTTGTGGTTGTTGTTCGAAAGAGTAACAATGGCAATAGGCTCACTGTCGACCGCGCAAGATACTGTTGAGCCACAGGGGAGCAGTACACACTCGGGCATTTGATTTATGGCGGTTAGATAGGTAGACCCATCGAAGAAGCAAAAAAGCCCTGGTGTGATCACAATGCCCCTACGTAGGGTATGGCCGTAAGGGAGAATTAGTACGTCACCATCCAAAATGTCGGCACAATTAACACTTATAATTTCTTCGATGTATGGCCGAAGTACATAATCTGACGTGGTGACAAGGCGGATGCGTCCATCGCGTTCAAGCGGAGAAGAGTCAGTGGCATTTAGATGCAGGAGGCGCTGATGACAAGATATGAAAGCGGACGCAGAAGACAAGCAATCCCACCCCAGAATGAGAGCGTGGGTGCACTCACGAAATACCGCGAAAACAATGTGATGACGAATGCCTTCTATGCAGACACGAACGGTACACTGTGCAAGTGGACGAATGAGAGCGTTGGTCGCCGCACGTAGAGGTGGGCCGCCATAAGGTGTGGTGACTTTTCGAAGGCGGGAACAAAAATCAGCACGAATAATCGAAACGGCAGTGCCAGTGTCTACAAGAGCCTCAACGCGTACACCTTCTACAAACACTACTATCAAATTCGATGGCCACTCTGGAGGAATTGTTAGCTGTCCGGTGGATGCAGTTTCCTCTCCTAAATCTGCATTGGGGAGTTTTCTGCATGGGCGTTCGTTGAATGGGAAGCGGGCCGCAGAGGCGACACTGAACGGTGACCTGGCGAAGGCAACCTGCGGCGAGACGTACGGGAATTCCCAGGCATGTCAGTATGGTAGGTCGGAGACGGTGAACGGTAATAGGACAATCGGGAGGGTGGTCGTAGGTAGTTCATGGTCGGACGGAAGCTTTGATGTTCTTCAGGAGCGTAGCCGCATTGCTCGTCTTGTTGGCGCCTTCGACAAAACCGAGCGATATGTCCTCGATAGCCGCAGTAGTAACAGATTGGTCGAGGTATGCGCTGAGGTGCGTAGTAAGGTGGTGCACGCACTGCCGGTGATAACGAAGCCACAGGCATATGGTCGGCTGTTGTAGGCACAGAAACGGTAGGTGCGGCAGAGAGCGCAACAACTTCGGCGTACGTGCGCGTCTGGCGCACGCAGGGACCGTTGGAACAGATCGGACGCGATGCGGAGGCGATCTCTTGTTTAATCAGGTCTCGCAAGCTATCTTTTTCAGAAGAGAAAGTAACTTCCGCAGCACAAGAAGAGCAGCGCCCGTGAAGCTCTTCACGAACGATGTCGTGAATAAGCGCACGCAAGTCGAGGGGTGCAGGCAAACGAATGTCGGTGGCAGCGTAGCGAAGGCGAAGAGACTGAAGCTCGTCAAGTCGCTGACAGATGGTTATCACGTCCTGGGTGGTGGCAGGATTTTGCGTGGCTAGGGCGTTAAAGGTGACGGTGTTAATTCCTTTAATAATGTGGCGTATTTGGTTGTTCTGAGACATGCCGGTGTTAACGCGCTTGCACAGTGCAAGGACATCCTCAATATAAGAAGTGTAAGATTCAACCGGCAGCTGCGTGCGTTAAGCGAGCTTCTTCTTTGCTGCCTCAGTGCGAACTGCAGGGGCACCAAATATCTGACGAATTTGATGCTCGAAAGTGTACCAGTCAGGAAGATCAGGGTGGTGGTTCCAGAACCAAGTTTTCACAACATCGGACAAGTAAAATGAGACGCTGCGCAACTTCTGTGGATTGTCCCGCCTGTTCAAATCGCTGACGGGGTCGTAGTTCTTGATGCAGTCTTCGACATCATCGCCTCGGAGACCGGAAAACACAGGTGGATCACGCAGCCGAATGTTGTTGGGCGGAGCGGGTGGCGGTGGCTGCAGTGGGATGGCGACGTTGGATGGGCCAGGGTTTTCATGGGCCGCCATGGCAGGGGGTTGTATGCGACGACCCGAGCGGAGCTCCAGCGAGAACGGGCGAGAGGACTTGAGGGAACGAAAAGCACCGTCCACCACTTCTGAGGAACCGGTTTATTCAGCCAGGCTTGAGCTAAATCACGCCGGTGATGATATTTACAGATGATGAAGATGTACAGGTGATGATGTTATCAAAGAGAATAAAGAGTCATTCGCTTGCCGCGCTCACAGCATTCAAAATAAAGGAATAAACGAGCATTATACTTAATGTAAATCCCTTGTAAGAAGGTTTACATGCACGATATAACAGCTTGAAAGCAGCTATACTGTGAATCCAGGAAAAATATGCGCTGCCACGAAGACATACATGTAAAGCTGAATGTATTGCCTTCACCTCAATTAATTACTTTTTAAGTTTAAAAGCTCGTTATCCAAGCTCATACATGCCAACTATAGCATATTTTAAAATGTAGCGTATTTTATTACATATGACTTGAATCCTACTGTAGTAGCATTGAAATTTTGTTTCATTCCAAACCAAAAAACTGACAATCGCACATGCCTAATTCCAATTCTATATGATATTGTACAAGTTAGGTTGCAAGAATAATACTCATTTTCCTTGTAATATGTGAAATACACTATTAGTATTGAACTAATACAAAATTATTTCATTCAAAATTATTTGACCAAACAACCATTTGCTTCGAATTCACTTTGAACCTTAAATTTGCAATTCACCCATTACTATAAGTAATCTTGACCGAAGAATAACCCAATTATATCCTCCACATGCTAACAACAATTTACATTACACATAATTTGCATCACATTACAGCGTAAAATTATTTAAATTCTGGTGCCTTAAGACTTGCAATCGTGTTTGGCTTTAGTCAACTTTAATCATGTTAGAAAAGACGAACTTGTAGAATACGCCGCAACACAAAACACTGACCTTTCTAGGCATATCTGGGGCTGCCGCTCCCACGTGGATTGCGTCGTACGGAGCGTGCTCAGGATATCCTTCACGACCATCTCCCACTGTAAGGAAAGGGGTTGTTGCAGGTGCCAGGAAGCTCCTCACAAGGCAATCGGATTCATTCTTGCTTCATCTGCCTTGGCCATTTGTACCACTATGTTAAACTACGGTTCTGACTAGAAGGACAAGCAATGCATTCTATTAAGTCAGTTGTTAGGGTGTAACTTCTCAAGATCCCTATATTATGATGACTGATGCTGTAGTGGAGGACTACGGAAACTGTCGACCACCTGAGGTTCTTTAACGTGCACTTAAATTTGATTAGAAAGGCCTCTATCATTATTATTCAGTTGAAAATATAGCCGCTGTCGTTGGAATTCGACCCCGCGACCTTCGGGTCAGCAGCCGAGCACCATAACGAGCAGATCGTCGTGGCCGATTTCTTTATCAATAACTATCCAATAATGCGGCCCCCCAAAAAAGAGAAGATGACAGCTTAACTGATGTGCAGTTTGGGTAAAACTGAAGTGCTGTCACTTTCAGAGATAAAGTTTGAAGAAGAAAAAAAAGGGGGCAGATCATTGTGTAATTGAACCATTAACATTGATTCTGTACCGTCAGAGGATAGAAAAAACATGTTGTATAGAAAAACAACGAACAGTACAAAGCAGGTGTATGCACTGTGTCGGATAGCTAAGAGCCAAGGCTACTCAAGGCTGGATCATTTTGAACGGTGCAGCACAGTACAATATTGAGTTACAAGTGGCTAAAAGAGATTACAAAGCATCATTTTCACAAACTAAAATTTCTGCTCTGTTAAAATACAGGCGATTCGTAATGTAAGGTGTCTCTGAATAGGTCATGACTACTACAAAAGAAAGCAAAAAAAATTTTTCCTATAGAGGCAGTGTACCCAGCCTCTCTAGAAACCTTCTAGACGCGTACTGCTGACTGAGCGAGTTGGTGCATGATGAAACGATATTGCTCTAGCGCAGCTCAGTTTGAGTGTGAAGAAAAGACGATACACAGTAAAGAAGGGAGAAAAGAACAGACAGAGTGAGCCCTAGACACTGTCATGATCTGCTTGATCTGCTATACGTCACTGATTAAATGTGAGAAGTACACAACACTAGGGTTCATGTTGAAAAGGATCAGAAAAACACAAACAATGAGTAGTCACAATGAAGAATTGCAAACATACCGATCAGCTTGACCCGCTTAGATTTAAGCAGTTGTGGCTGGTCGCGCTCAATGTTGGCAATAGACTCGTTGACCAGTTCTGGGATGTGGTCAATGCCCACGGCCAAGCCAGTCTCACCAACCTGCCACAAGAAGGACGGTTACTTCAGCAAAAAAAGGGGAAAAAATGTGGAAGCCTATTACCCTAAAACAATTTATTTTTATTTCAGAAGAGTGAAAATTCTACACAAATGTGCTGGCAACGTGGACGCTAGAATACAAGGCACCCAGATCTGGCAGGCTGATCACATGACACTTGTGGGGGGGTGCTATCACCCTTGTAAGGTTGTTTGCACCTTGTGGCACACACCCATCTCGTGAATAGGCCGCATTTAAGTTTAACAGCTGCTGAGCAGTAGAGGGCGCCATGCTCATGCAGTTTCACCACCTTCATCATTACGATAAGTGTGGTAGTGCCAGCAGTGACACCCGGTGGCGAGGCTAAGAAGGCCACACAAAAAAGATTGGGGACTCTCTTTGGCATGTGACAGCAGGCGTGGACGGTCGTCTCCTGATGGAGGTCCACGGGATGTGACAACCGCAGGTCATGTGCCATGGGTCCCTCACGGGGAGTCAAACATCCGCGGCAACGCTTTTGCGTTATCTTGTATTTGTTACGTAGACTGAATTTATTGGAATATTGTATGAGGTTGTTTTTTCGGTGTATCACTAGTGGTGTTTTTGATTCGGCTGGTGATATCGTTTGTGAAAGTAGCTGAATAAATGTACACGATGTTTGGGTTGCCCAACCGTGTCTGCTGTCTCCGTGTGTTCGAAGAGTGGCGCTAGCATCTCAAGACCCCCCCCCCACACACTGCATCGTCATTCAAGGTGGCCTTTGGACGATGGCACAAAAACATGATGTAGCGAGAAAGAAAGACGGAACGGCGGCCAACGTAGTCGTGTCGTTCTCTCGCCACTTTATTCCACGCCTGAAGCGGAGCCTCGTGGCTTTCCACGTCCGATACGCCAAGTGCGCTAGCTTGTTCTAATCCTCGTGCAGCTCGAGCTAGCATCAGCTGCACGAGAGGCGCGGCGCGGTGATCAAGAAATGATGATGGTGATGATGGCACCACAGGGCTCCCCCCCTAGCGCTTTGCGCGATTTGAAGGCATATGAAAAAAAAAAAGAAAGATAGTGACAAAAGCTATATACATGAACGACAATCCATAAAGTGTTCATTTGGAAAGTCCAGGTTGTTAACGTTGATGGGCCATCGGTAAGCAGCGGGTCTCTGGCGGGCGACACTGGGAATGGCGCAGCGGACGAGGGTGGCTACGCAGGCACGCTGTTGGAAGGAGCGGGCGAGGGTCGTGATGAAGGGACACTTTTGTCGATAGCGAGTACCAACGACAAGGCGAAAAATGGTCAAGGGCCGTGAACACACACGGGCCGTTTCGGTGCGGTCGATTGTCGCGCGCACTCGGACACTGATGCTTAAAAGATGGACTGTAGCATGAGTGTAGTACGGCCAGTCCAGAAGGTCTAGTGTTATTTCTTTGTTGGAGCTGGTGGGAACGTCGACGGGGAGTGCGGTCAACCCTGGTAGTGTGTTTACCGTGCTGGTACCGTCGCTTCCGGTGGCACATTACCGTCTGCGGCGGCCGCCTGGTCGGCCGAGTAGGGTGCAGATAAGTTGGAAACGGTGCGCTTTGGACCGATGAAGTGCGACATGGTTTACAGTGATAACGAGCCGGCTCAGAGGGCACTGATGGATTGCTTTTTCCGACCTTTGACGATGTGTAACGCGCAGGCGTACGCCGATGAGTCGTCGCGTTGTTCGAGCTAGAACCGACGTTTGGTGATGCGAGATCGAGCGGCGGGTATGTGGCGTCACAGTTGTCATGGGCCGTCGACGGCGTTGAAATGCTCAAGCACGCGTACGTAGTGGTAGGCGGATGGTTTAACTGCGCATCTGTTGGGGCATGCACGGTGTGCTCCACCTGTGGTGAGCCAGGCGTGCGGCCCTCGGGATTTCCTGACATCGTCACAGCATCATGCACGTTCAGCTGTGCATGCTCAGGGGCTTGAACTTCTGTAGGATACATCGAGGATGATGTTAGTAGGTGCTGGCAGTCCACGAGGTTTTGAGCAGCAGGCACCGGTGTGCAGGGGAAACTGATGGCGTGCAGTGTCACAGCGGGCTCTGGGTCCATAGTGTGAGTGGTGTCGCGGGTCTCCACAGATGCCGGGACAGGCGGGGAGTCTGCAGGAAGGTCAGCTGGCCCAGCTGAGGTCGTCGAATCGCCCGGGACAGACAGTTCAGCCGACCAAGTCTCTGCAGCGAATGCGACGGTGTACGGGGCAGCGGCCGGTGTCGAATCTATGTGGCCAGTACCGGCAGGGGAATGGTCTGGACTGGCTGTGGGGCGAGAGGCGTCCTGGAAGGTGATGAGCCAGGTGCAGTTGTGTCATTTTTGGAAGGAGGAGCATGTTTAAGGCCGTAAAACTTGAGCACGGCATCTCGCAAATGATCGTATGGGCGAGGGCTCCAGGAGAAGTATGTGAGGTGGTGTTTGAGGTCATGTGGAAGATGGTATTCCAATACCTCGTACATGAGCTCTTGGATCCAGATACCGTTGTGATACAAGGCCGCCGCAAACTCCTCGAACCACGACTCTAGGCGAGAGGTCCGGAACGGGGGCAGTGGCGGGTCAAATTGAGGCTGCCAGGCTTGTGCTGATTGGAACATGGCCCCGTAGCTCGGTGGCAGTAGCGCAGCGCCGGTCGCTTGGCGAAGGGCGTGTTCTCCGGGTCACCAAAGTAGCGAGAGAACGACACGACTACGTTGGCCGCCGTTCCGTCTTTCGCTCTCGCTACATTGTTCCTGCTACCTTTCTGCTAGATCAGTCGCCGCCCACTGCAACACGCAAATAGTGTATAATCAAGGATTTTCGAGGATCCAGTGAAGATTCGCAACAGATTTGTTACCGTTACGCGAGTGTAAATATTGCGCCAGCATAATACATTGGGGTCACCAATGTAGCGAGAGAGAAAGACGGAACGGCGGCCAACGTAGTCGTGTCGTTCTCTCGCCACTTTATTCCACGCCTGAAGCGGAGCCTCGTGGCTTTCCACGTCCGATACGCCAAGTGCGCTAGCTTGTTCTAATCCTCGCGCAGCTCGAGCTAGCATCAGCTGCACGAGAGGCGCGGCGCGGTGATCAAGAAATGATGATGGTGATGACGGCACCACAATGATATTGCACAGCTAAGAAACCAAGCACAAAATGCAAAGAAAGCCAAGAGAGAAAACTTGGACATCTGCCCCTTGGGCCATTAGAAGGATGAACTCATGAATACAAATACAGCAAAAGCTAGCCAATTTGAACTCGAAGGGGACAATAAAATTGTTATAGTTAAGCAGAGTTCAAATTAGCGGGCGGGCGCTAGAATGAACGGACATCGCACCACACTGCATGGACAGAACCCCAAGAAGCCACCTCTGTACTCATCACGAACTAGGTGCTACTACATATTTGTAGCAGGCGAGTTTGTGAATTAAGTTCATGAAACTTTAACAGCTAACAGAATTAACTGATCAATCAGTGATATGCCAAAAACAAGCACCAACACGCATTAATGGGAGAAGTGAGCCATTATGCGAAATATATGCTGCAATTTATGCTCCAAAACACATTAACATGGCATAGTTAATGCAATCAAATTTAAAAGTAAACTGTAATGTGCATTTGCTTGCGCTTCTGTCACGACTCCATAAGCATCGTTTGCAGCTTGCACGAGAGCTGAAGTGCAACGTCCGAACTCTCATCTGCTGAGAAATGCTGCTGTTTTGTTGTTTTGAATCTCTAGTAAATAATGTTTGGTTTGGTTTTGCAACACACTGTGATCACTCAGCCAAATTTTGCAAGGAGCAATGAAAACCAGGGCCTTCCAGTTCAAATTGACTGTTTTGGATACTGACGTGTTCGAACTGTTGGGAGTTATACCCCATAGAAATATGCAGGGCTTTGCCCAGACCAAGGTATTAGTTCAAATTATCAGAGTTCTAATTAACGAGCTTTTACTGTATTAGACACTGTGCTGCCTAAGCAAATTTCAGCACGCAGGGTGACGAAAGCAGTTTGCAGACATAAGTAAGTGCACTCTGTATCGTGCACTCCTCTTTCAGATCTGAGTAGCTGGTTTGGATTCTCTACAGAACTTATGAGTATGGTGACATCTCTACACAATTTTTATTCACACTAGTTCTCGAGCTGCTATCACAGACATATGCTGAATCTCAAAGGAGAGATGGCCTACCTGTCTACACTATCTTAGCCTTTTCTGCACAATCCTTACAAGTGCAACCAATGCCAAATGTCCACTTGCCATGAGCCCCATGCAAGCTGTGAGGTAGCCGCTCCCAGAGCCGACATCCAAAGCCCTAGCCCCTTCTTTGAGGTGGTCCTTGAGTGACTCCAAGGCTTGGGCATGCTGGAGAGACAGCATTCATGGCAGACAGTAAAACAACAGTGCATATTAATTCTGGTATGTAAAACACATATTCCAACTGAAGTTAACCCTTCCATCTTAGGTTAATATTGGGCCAATCTTTTGCAAAGAAGCTTGTCGGTTACTTCCTTTTTGCAAACCTTTTTAGTGATATATTTTTACATTATAGCATTAATGTCAACCATACATTAAGCTTCCATATATCTACTTTCATTAGGTTGCAATTAATGATCACTTTAAAGCTACTTAAAGCTTGCTAACGTAACTTGAAATGAAGTAGAAACCAGGGCAAGTTTTGCGAGCATTGAAGTGGCCCAACTCTGTTGTCAACTTCCACCATTTGATGAAGACAGCTAGCAGCTACGCACAATCGCACCAACCTTTCCCAGAAAAATTAACCTTTAGAATATGAAACAGCCGTGAAAATATTCATGCAAACACATTGACAACCAATAAAATTTAGAATAAAGCTTGATCCAACAAAAAAAATTGGTAAGTGATGCCAACCACACGAAGTTGGATGGAAATCTATTTTTATACAGCTTTTGATAAACACACGCCTTGGCTAACTTGGGCAACTGCTAAAGCACAGTAGCCAAATGTGAATTTTTATCTGCACAGTCAATTGACTCGTATTATACCTTGTAGGCCAATTCGCTAATATAGTAGCTGCTAACACAACAGGGAAATACATGCCCTCTGGAAATCTTGGCAAGAAGGTATGTCAGCTGACTTTTCACCTAACACCTAAAGCACTAAATGTTACCCGGTTGGGCTTATGTGATCATCAATGTGATCAAATAATAAATGAAAAATGAGGTATGAAATATGAAGTATGAGAAACCATGCAGATACATACATGTTTATAAGCGGTAATTATTTATTGGTGAGTTCTTTTGAGCAAGTAAGCTATATATAGACTGATCATCGATTACTATAAACTCAGCATTTTGGCCGTTCGAGACAAGGTACTCAATAGAAGACTACAAACATACACAAACATACCATATTAATAAAGCCAACTAAATAAGCCTTTGCAGAAAATGCATTTACCTATCGCATGAAGCATATAAAGCCGCTAATGAACTCGTTTATACCTGTGTCAGATGCTGATGCGGCAGTAAGCGCTTTTAATCCTATCACACAACTACGCATGAGAAGACTACCGTCTTTTTGTAGTCTTTAGGACGTGATGCAAAAAAAAAAAAAAAAACTGGGCACGCCCCTTCATCAACACATGCAACGCAGCCGCATGTGCCTTTAGGGTCTGAAGAGTGCATGCTGCTTTTTAAATGAGGCCGTACCATGTGCGGTGCGCTGATTGTGACGGCGTATCCGATCCCCTGCGGTGAATCCATGTAGGGGTTGTGCGGGCAGAAGTTTCCTCTGTCAACGCTACTCATCACGTCTTCAACCTTCTGGGTCCTGATGATTCCATTGCCTGCGGCGAATAGAACCTTGCCGCTAACAAACTTTTCGAAGACGCACGACGTTTCGGCCCCACCGAAAGATGAAACACTCAACAGCGCTCGATCTCCCGACCCGGAGCGTTTTGCATTACTTACGCTTCAAGTTGCGCACCAAATCGAGGTTGTTCTTGCCGTGCGACCTCCAAGCCATGACAAACGTAGCAAAGCAACACGTTAGGAAAGCTCCGCAGACAGCTCTGAACAGCATCTACTGCCGACAGTTTCCACCTAAAAGAAACGGGCCAACACTTACGAAAACATCAGCCTGGCGGATTTTTGAGGAGTCGGGACTGCTGAGCACAAAACAGGACGGGGAGAAAGGCGAGAAAGGAATGTAACGGAGATCGAACGCAATCTTCAAACGTTAGCGACAAAACGTAAGGCAGAAAAACTTGCCTAGCAGCGCGGCTTCGCACGACGAAAAAGCGCCAAGCGCGCCTCACGTTCCTTCAAAAACGACGCAGGGGACTCACTCCATGGAACGCGCTACACATCGACATGCGCGGGACATTTTTGGGATCGCGAGAGGCGGCCCCCTGTCCTTTAGATCGCCCTTCGGCGAGTTAAAAAAGCGCAGCTTGAAAACGCGTGAACGATGACCCGAACATTACGAGAAAAACTGCCCGATAAGCGCTTAATAACGCGACGATTTTTCCACGCGGGCACCTGGCAAACTACCGGGGTACGCGAGAAATCCGCGTTTGTTCAGAAAAGGCGGCGAACGGAACGCAAATCGGCAACTATGTGACGGCGGCAGCTGCTGTGCAGCCGACATGGCACCGTCGAGCGAGTCAGCAGCATGAAAAAGAGAGAATGGAACGTATGGAGGAAGAACTCGCCAAATTTCGCGCTCAGCTCAAGGTGAAACAGGAGGCTGCCAAAGCGCCCGAACAGCCTGACCGCGCGAAATCGGGTTCTCAGAGCGAAAGCAACGACACTGACAGCGATGCCAAGGTGAGGTTACCCTGTTCCTGTCGCCGAGCTGTGTTTATAGCTAGCTCGGTCATTTTTTCTTACCTTTTTGTTTTCAGCCGGCCACGTTGACAAAGCTTCGCAAGAGACGAGAACCCGTACAAACTCCTCCGATGGCCGCGTCACCGCCGTCTTCTCGCATAGTGGTCACCGACGAACCTGTGGTGGACGAGGAGTCCTGTGGTCGCTGGACGAGGCTCGACGTGGCCACTCTGGTGCTCAAGTTGACGCTGTGGTGCCTGCTGATGACGCTGTTTGTGGTGCTCGAATTCGGAGCCGTGTTCTTCGCGATAAGCGTGTTCTACGTGATGTTCACGAACTTCCGCAAGAGGCCCCGGCTGCGTGGCGAGCTCAGCGCCTACTCGGTGTTCAACCCGAACGTCGAGGCGATCGACGGCTCGCTGACGGCGCAGGACTTGGAGAGGCAGTTGACTATGGGCATATTGCCGATGCACTGAGAAACGGCGGCCGCGAAAACAGCAACGAAACAAGGGACCGCCTTCTCGATGACGTGGCGCGTTTGGCTAACGCCTACGGTTGCAGTCAGCAGTACACCGTGCAATATCTAGTAGCCGTCCATCCTGCGCAAGCTTCACTCTCTCTTCAGAAAGTGGAAGACTGCACGTAACTGTGACCACTAGTACGCAGACGGTGCTACTTTGCCTTATTTCAAATACTTGACGGTATCCGCGCGTGACGTGACAAGATTTGCAGTGCTATTAACATAAGCAGTGCCATACGAATAGGAAGCGAATACTTGAATGTCGCTAGCCTTCTACACTTGTTAAATGCACTGAATGAAACACGCCCTTTCGTTAACCGGTGTTGACAGTAGAGTACTTGCCCATTTGTCCAGAACAAGCTGGAGGTATACGTCATGAAAAGTACAATTTAAGTGTGATGACAGACCAAAACAAAGTACTGCACAAACATGGCCAGTCGGGCGAGTTGGAACCCAGCTGTGCTAGAAGCATTTAGCATAACAAATACAGACCAAGAGAAAATGATAGATCAAGTGCTCTCCGTGCATTTGTTCTTACTGTGCGCTGCTATCATGCCAGGAAGAAAGGTTACCTCCTCAGTAAAACAATAGTGCTATTAGTCTTGCATGAACATTGTGAGGCCTTGTGAATACAAAATTTGAAGCGTGATTATGCTTTCTGGGCAGCGAATGCTATCATTCCGCACGCCAAAAACTTTTAGTGCCCAGCATTGCCACAGTGACATGTGCGCCACAGTTGGCTGTCAAAAAGAACAACCCAACACAGCCTCACCTAGTATTCATAAAAGGTATAGATGTAATTGTTCGGAAAGTATCCAGTAGTATGAAATTCGTTACTGAAGGCAGTCGTGCCGACACGAGCAAAAGTAGGAACCGAAAATCACCAGGCCTGCGAGAAACACACAGCACAGTCACAGCAAAAGCTGCAAGAGGAACCCTTTCTCGAGCTAGTAGACTCTCTTGGGGGAACTATCACAAGGAAACTTGCAAGGTACCCGCCACCGTAGAGTTTTCTAAAATTAACTATAGGGGACTCTGGCACTGCAAGTAGCTAAGCAACCATGGGAATGATGGGTAATACACAAATTCGCCTAGTCATCATGCTTGCAGGCTTTGAACGCACTAGTGGCTTTGTTTATTCTTGTGCTTTGGTTTTGCTTTGAAAGAAAAAGTGGTCTGTTTTGAACTTCGTGACCAGATTTGAACTGGTCAGCCTAAAAGGTTAAGGTGGTGAAGTGTTATTGCTGAACCTTTGCCGATTGTTGTTTCATGACAAAGCAGCTCTAAGCCACACAAAGCCAAATGCAGCCGATAGTGCAAAGATGAGACAAATTTGTGCACTACTCATCATTTGCATGCTGCTTACTGAAGCATCCTGCTTCTAGCACTAGCGTTCCCTCTAGTGTATATATAGAAAACTCTATGCCCACTACACCGTAAATCATAGTAATTTTAATGAAGCATGAAAAACACCCTCTGTGCCATTTTTCGTCATTCTGTGGAGAACCATGGTATACACTACACATGTGTAAGGCATTATATACACTTTGCGCTATGGCTGATGACAAAGTATTACAGCTGAACCTTTTCTAACGAGTTGGAAGCATTCAACAACCGACTCTTTGCGGAATTCGCGTTGCGTGACATGTCGTGATTTTGCTTTTCAGCGATGCTATAGTATGTTAACGCGATACTTTGCTTGACATGATGCACATATAGAGTTTTTTTATGAAGGAGTTGCAAGCACCAGCACCACTCTGTGGTAGAAGGCTCGAGTGTCACGCAGGGTGCCTGGGTTCGAATCCCATCCGATTCTAAAAATTTGCTTCAAATTTTTTTCTTATTTTGCCTGGTAGCGGTTACGGACACTGGTGTTGGTGGACAGTACGGTGCTAAAAACGGCTGTTGTGATGTCATGACAGCTTTCGCCGTAAAAGACAACATGACTGTCACACAGCAACGTAAAAGGAAAATGTAAAGCTGATCTGTGGTGCTGAAGTCAAAGCTTTGTGTTTACGTCTGAACAGAAATATGATGTCTGCAAGTTTCATAGTACACTTGCAATTGAGTCATGAAAGGGGAGATAAGCATTATTTCAGTTTACCTTACTCATCATCTAATATCAGTAATGCAATGCTGCACAAGGTTCTTGTAAAAGCAGCTGCAACTAAAAGAAACTCTGTAAAGCACAGCACGCCCATATGACATAGTGTCGTCGTTAGTACGCTTTACATTACACTTGTCAGGTATATTCTAGCAATCAAAGTGGCCTTTCCTTGCACAATTTCCACACATAAATGTGACATTTTCGAGGCCATTATGCTAAATCCAAGCTAGAATCGTCAACCCAAAAATGTCCATCTGACCCTATCTTTAAATTAGGGCCATGTTGTAGTTCCACTTATTTCTGGACAAAAATGGCAAGAAACCTGTTCAGTGCTAATTAAGTTGGCACATTCTTACTCAAAAATATTGTAGCGCCATATTGGACAGAAACAAGACTGAAAAGTACAGAACAGGACGGGTGCTGTCACGTACTTCTCAGTCTTTTCGTCTAATGTAGCACTACAATATTTTTGAGTGAGAATGTGTCATCTACTAGCCGCTCAACGAGTTCTATTAATTAAATGAGTTGGCATAGTTTAGCTGAAGTAGTCATCTATTTGAGCTGTATCTATTTGAGAAGTAAGCTGTACAAAGTCAGTGAAAGATGCCAAACGCTAGTCAAACAGCTTTCCAACTGACTATTTTTTGCGCGCATAGGCCAACAGTGTCCGTCGACACACCCTGATGCAATGTGATGCAAAAATAGACGCTGCTCAGCAGCCACAGTATATTACTATGTTACAAAGATGTATGTACAGCCCCGTTGATCAGTATTTACAACGCCTTTCTAGGCAAGACATCCTCGATTGTAATTGTTGCCCGCTGGTTAGATATTCCCACAGCTACTCCGGCGGAAAGGCACTGGTGCTTTCGATGTCACGACCTTCACAAGCCAGGGGAATTCCTCGCCGCTTCCACTATCTCCATAAGAGCTCCGTAGCTTGGGACTTTTGATTTCGGTGTTCCGAGCTCTTCCATCTGTACAAATAAACAAAAAACAGCCTCATCGTCAGCGCACTTGAGATGTCTTTAACGTAACAATGGTTCATTTTTCCCTAAAAAAATAAAATCGAAAGCTTGTATCAACATAAAATACAACATGAATGTATGCATTCATTTATTCCATATATATTAGAGAACATTACGAAGTATTTACACAGAGTATTTAAATCATAGAAGCTATGAAACTCCCCATATGCTTCATCAATGAAAATGCAGACACACCATTGGCCGATACACCAAGATCTGCAGATTGTAATACCACCAGTATGCATAAAAACAAGCTGATGAGTGACATTTTTGCGTGCTACATTACTCAAGCCCCTAAATTATGCTGCATCGATGAAGCGATTATATTTTTTATGTGTGCGGCCTACATTTTGCAGCTAACATTACAACAGTGAAACTTATCTACCATACTTGAAAATACTTCTAATCCTAGCAGCGATTTCAGCTCAGACTGTAGCAATCTTTATGACACTGTGTGTTTTCTGTATTCGACCCCAAGTGGCACATCGGTTTGCAATCCTCCACAAATTTGTCCATGAGCATGTTTAAATTTCACCGTGGACTTTTGCAACCGCTATGATTGAAGAACTCTGGCACAAGCTTTTGAAGCAGCACTCGGTGGAAATAGCAATGAATGTGAGCTCACCTTGATCCCAAAATGCTCGACATCAATGTAAAGCTGTAGACGTATCTTGTCGTCGTCCGAGGCAGCCCCTTCTGGTAACGGTGTCCTATCGCGAGCTCGCTTCAGTCTCTTCAGGCTGTCTTCCATTTTCTTCACGGACACTAGCACATCTTTGGTTACGGTCATGTACCTAATGTGAAGCAAAAAAAAAAGTCACAGCTTTGCCGCAAAGGCGAAGCAATGAACACGATAACAATAAACTAGAAAGAAGCAAGTAGATCGAAACGTGCCTCGCGTTTTTCATGCACAAATTACAGACAAAACGTACTCACAGGTACAGATGAACACGAATAAGCGTTTCAGTTGTTATTTTGCTGTGTTTGAAAAGCGCGCCTTTTCGCAAACGGAGACTGTGCGATGATTGCACTGGCCTTTGTGCGCCTGGTAACTACAACAGAATCGTTCTGGTGAAAGCACAAGGCCAGCCAAGACGTACCATGCTGCCCACGGCGAGATAAGGGCGCACAAGTGAGCATCCACCCCACTCCTCTACACGGGGCTAAGTATGCATGGGAGATGAGAGCGCGCGGTGCCGCGTCGTGGTGATCTGGTGACGCGCGCTCATTGCACCATTCGCTGGTGATGTTGTAAATACGATAATAGTTCCCCCAAGATGCCCATTGCCAGCGGTTAGTGGTAGATATAAATAGCTTGCTGTTTGAACGTTGAAGGAGGTGCTCCTTCGTGGCTCAGTGGTGAACACCTCGCACTCACAATTTAGAGGTCAGAGGTTCGATTTCTCGACCTGGAGTCTTTTTCTGGATTACTTTCTTCCTTGCGTTTTCATTTAGTATATAGATACATATACATATACGGTGATTGACACCGACGCCAGCAGTGAAATCCAGCCGAGAGTGTCCATATTGCATGTTTTAAGCACAAAACACATGGTCAGCCAGTTACTGCAATCAAGAACTGCACTTACTGTTTTGTGACTTCTTCGAGCACCGACTCAGTCCATGCGGGGTCCCAATTCAGATTCACATTCTGGCGGCCCAGGTGCCTTAATGTCGCCAGAGGTGATAGGATTTGCGGGACATAGCTGGATGGTTTCGATGGTACCTACAGAGGAGTGATTAGAGCATAAAATAATTCAAGAAAGAGGTGATAAAGCTCAGGAATTGTGGCAGCAATAATCGGCAACTTTATAACGAAATGACGTCCATGGCTTTCAAACATTTGGCAATGACTTTGCAGCTGGTAGAATAAAAAATTAAATGATGACAAAACAGACTGAAAATAATATTCGTAAGGGGTTCTGTTCTTTATTACTTCACTTGTGATTTTTATCCTTAAATTGAGCAAAATGATTCCAATAATGCAGCTTATTTCACGTAATATAAACAAACTATAATAAAAAACTGAGACAGTCAAAACTGTTATTCGAGACCAGGTAGGAGCGTAGGCCTAGCTAGCGAAATCAGTGACAGTCCGGGCCGAGCGTCTCGTGCTTAGCACTGACAATGTGTTTGCCGAGATTTGCATGACCCACTACATTCATCATTACACAAACAAATAAATGATATATAGTGCCTTTTCTAGCAAGCAGTTCCAAATGCTAAGCCAAAGCGAGAGCTGAAAATTTATTAACTGGGTATACTGCCTTACAGGCTTTCAAAGCATAGCCTGACAATTTGCAGATTCACAAGCTACAACAAACTTACTCCGGTTATTTTTTACAGTATAATGTCTATTACCATGCCCCAAAATGCTTCATACACATCTGCGTTTTCATTAGATCCTTTCAAAGATGTGGCCGAAATGGTTGCGATCCAAAACCACAACTCACACTTGACAAGAGAGTGTATTCGCCACTGAGCCATCTAGTGAAAATGTTCAATTAAGAAGGATGCCGTATGTTTTCGCTGACCTCTCGGTTCGTCCTGCGGTAGAGGCGTGGAATGTCGGGCACCATTTTGAGCTGGACGCAGCAGGCCTTGGCAACGTCGGACACCAAGCGGCCAGAAATGCTGGGAGCCAGGCTCGTGAGGAGCTGAGAACACTCATCCAGTCCCTCTGTGGCAATGTGTTTATACAGAACACGCAGGTCTGAAAATGCGGTACGTGACGACACATACATGAAATGGCACAAACTTCTCGGCTAAAGATTCTGGGCCTTTCATTGCAGCGATTGTGGCAGTGCTCCCACTCTAACGGGTGCCGCATTTACATGATGGTAGGTCGACCGATTTCTGTCTTAATTTGTAATCGGAAGTTGCAAGGTCGATTTAGAATAGAAAACTAGTTTTGGCTGTAAAGTTCTTTTCAAAATCATTCCCGCGTATTCCCGCGAAGCTAGCCTTTCTTCAAAGCTTCTAAGCACTGCCGTGAAGCCACCCAAGCACACTAGAATTTGACTTTACTAAAAGACGATAGTCTTTCTTGGGGATCTTCGACACCAAAATTTTGATCCGCCTGTCTTTCTGTCTGTACATTTGTCTGTTTGTCCGTGGCAACGATCCCCTTAACAGCACTAAACGATACCTCAGACGGCCAACCCCATCCGTAGTGCCCACCAATATTTCTCAAGTTGCAGCATTCATACTTGTGCGATTGTCAATTGAAAAGCAATTATTGCGCATATCTGAGGCACCATAACAACAACTTGATGTTTTGTATGTGCCTTTTTACCAAATAAGGCACACACAAGTACTAATTCTAAGGACTGTAGCGTTTATCACGCTGCACTGACAGTGCAACACGAAGCTCAAAAAGGCAAGTCTTTCCAACGCTTTGCCAAGATGACACGGTGGTGACACCAGCGCGTCGCTTTGCGTTCTACACTTTATCACCTCTGAGAAAGGCGCGCATCTTTCCCCGCGGGCGCACATGCCTTCCTTTGTTTTCGAAGATAACTGCCAGATGGCGCTCGTGTCTAACGTGCCTCGATGCGCTTGTTCGCCTTTGCTGCACAGATCGAAACTCTCTATAACGCAGCGCTTCCAGAATACAATTCACTGATTTTCTCGCGCAAAACATCAAATGAATGTTTTGTTTACTCTCTCCACACGCAAGACTATCATCTTCGACGAAATTTGCCGTGAACATGCACATACGGGGCCAATTTTTTTCTTTGGAGACATGGAAAATACATTTTTAATTAAAATTAGCCGCTGCTTTTTTTTTTTTTGTCGTGCAATTTTAGAGGGGATAGACCTACATTTGAGTCAACTCACAATCGTGTAAATACGATATGAGCATTGTGCATGCACAAGGCATGCAAGAAGGAAAGTAGACAAGTACTTGACGGAAAGAAAATTAATAAATGGAAAGATACCTAAGTATGTTGGTTGCATCTCGGTATCCTTCTTTAGAAAAAAAAGAAAATCCCATCAGTTACCTTGCTCTATAATCACATATATGACAATATTTATCAAAAACTTGTCACTTCTGTGCTTTTATTTATTTATTTTGGCCCTAATCACATTCAGTGCACATCTTTTGAGACTTCTCCCGAGAATAAAACATTAGTTGCAATACAGCACTTGGTTTTTGCATCATTTATGTGTGCACGATTGTGTCCTTCTAGGTATTGCTTGATCAAATATTGTGGCTTATCAGCCAGTCCATCAGCAGATATTAAGTTCAACGTGCCATTGCCTGCCTTGTACCTTTTGTTGAAAGCGCAAAGCACGCGAAGGGCACCTACTGTATACTTGGAGTTGCATGCTACACTGAACAAATGGTTATAGCTGTGCAGCACCCATACCTTTCAGAAGCTGTAATTGTGCGAAACCAGTCTGTTGAAGTCTTGGTTCGACTGTGTCGGTAAGGAGGGATCCCAACTGCATCAGCAAAAGAAGAGCAGTTTTCGTTGGGATCACCCAAATATTCAATAGGATATTTTGATGCTAAATATTCACTTTGCATAGAATTATAAAAATGAAAGTTCTTGAAGTGCTTGAAACAATTATCAGTACCAGCTACACCACCATGAACCCGCATTCCCATGGGAAACTTGCATATCTCACACATAAAATTAATTTAAACAAGTATGTTTGTGTTTGCAAATATATCAGTTTACATAACAGTGTATGTACAGATTAGCATCAGCCACCTGTCATGCAGTTAAAATCAACATTCTACTTTCATTTTCGAATACCGTCACGTGTATTACTTGATGACAGCGTACCGGATAATGCCTTGTGCATATTTCTGCTTTAATTTCCAGAGAACTAAGCCTTCCCATAGGCTTGATTGCCAGATTCATACAACTAAGCCATTTCAAGTTTCTTATTTCTTACATTTCTTACAAGAAAACTGCATCAAAATTGAACAGAAAGTATGAGCCTGCTTTCACCAATAGATTGCCTTCAGTGCTCAATGCTGGCACTATCTTAAATCATAGCTATGCTACAATAACACTGCCCAAACTATCACGAAAGCGTTAAGTGTAGATGTGTGCTCTCAGGCATAGGTCGGTGAAGACCCCCGTGAGTTGGCTCACTCGTACTCACGCTCGAATTGAGCCGCGAGTCTCAGTCTGGGTGAGTGCAGGGGAGTAACATTTTGGTGAGTTTGAGTGCGAGGTATGTTTCTTATGCGAGTCTGAGCCAGTTCCACTTGTGCCTGCCAACCTGTGCCCTCGGGGGACACAAGAGTGTAAACATCATCACATTTTCCTCATCAGGAAAAGCTATAACAAAGACGATAGCCAGATTCACACCTAAAGCATGACACTAGTGAAGCCAGTGTAATGGTCGCAAGTTTCACGCCACTTCCACATACATGCACAGCATAACCTTCAAGTGTGCAGGTTCAAGTTAATTGTTGAAATGCAACCCGTGTTCATATACTTCATTTTCTTGCACAATAGCTTGAAACATTATGCTTAAGGGCAAAATCCCAGCTCATGCAAAACCTCGTATTGACATAGTGCCATTCACAAATGCTGTCCATACCACTGATTTTGTTCACATGAACATAGGGCAACTATGTATGTTTCATTGCACACAGTTCTCATTCCAAATTATCGTGATGCATTGATTTACATGATAAAACTCTCGGTTTAAGAAAAAAATGTTGCTTCCAAAAACGACACATAAAATGGGTGATATTGCATATATTTTATAAAATACATGTTGTACAAGAAACTGTTGTACTTGAAATTCACATACAATATACATAAACTAAGCAAATTTTACAAAGATCACTCAAGAATAAAATATAAAACATCCTCCTTCTTCTCTGTGTCCTCGCCATCAGTTTGCAGCTGTAGCATTCACCTAGTAATCATGCACGTTAAACCTTGACTATTAATATTATTATTATATCCCACACAGGCTGCATACCCTACTGTTACAAAGCACCTTAAAGGGCTAAACAGTATAATGTATCGCTGAAACGCTTCTCGGCAAATCACTCTCACGAAAACAACACCAGAGCGGCTCACCTTAGAGGCGATGTTCAACACGTCAGCAGTGAAGCATCACAAACAGAACGGGGCCCTGAGGGTTTGCAAGATCGACTGATGCGTCACAGCCTCCACCATCCTCACCGTCGCCAGCCTCGTGTCCCGAGCTCGTTTCCTCTCCGACACCCGACCTAGCGGTGTACTGCTGCAACCAGCCCCGGTGCCGAGCCAAAAGCTGCAGCGTGAGCTTCCAAAACCGGTGTGACAGGGGCGCCAGAAAGACGTCCTCGTCCCAGCAGCGGCACAGCGCAGCCCACAGTGCCTCGTGACACGGACAGAAAGAACACGTCGCCTGCATGTATCGAAGCTGGCTGTCAGAGACTCGACAATGCCTGAGCAAACCTTTCTGCACTTTGTATATTCTATCAAATATTATGGTATCCTAATTTACTTTGACACGAATTTAAAAGTTCAGAAATTTAGTTGTCTTCCATACGAATGAACATAATTCACCGCATGTAACCTGTTTTAAAAGTGGGCTGCACTGCAGTACAAAACTACTACGCTGAGAAACTACTGAATCAGGAGAAATTCACATTGCCGTAAAGCTACGCTCTAATATTATGAGTGCACACTACTAGCATCACGGTTACCTTTTTTTAACTGTTTAAAGGTGTTTTATACGAGCTTGTGGCTAAGGACCACTTATGACTTGCACCCTGCTGCTATTTTAATTACGTTACAATTTCAATTCACTTCAAGGCTACTCATACTAATTACCATTCACTTCAGTTTCATTTCGTAAAAACAAATATCCACACAAGCCTGAACTTGAACTTGTGTTTGCAATAGTGAAGAGTAGCTAGAGCGCTTAAAATGACCAGTGTTACTTAAGAAAAATAAGACACAGGAAAATTTTAGACCGATTTAATTACACTGGACTGATTGGAGAAGCAAGTCAACCAAACATGCCAAACATTAATTTCCAAGCATTAAGTGGTATACAGCTGTCATTGCATTCACCTTACAAAGGCAGTAATTTACACCCACCTTTACTGCGCTGTGATGGCTGAGTTATGGCGGATTCTAGTTGGCAGGCTATCTCCTGAAATCTGTCATGAAAAATATCAGCAAGAAAAAAAAGACGGTTATACGGGTTTCAACTGTGATCAATAGAAACAGAACAACTACTTCAGGAATCACAACTAATTGTTCAAACACCTCCTAAAAAAATAACATTTGCTTGTTTCCACTTTTGCTGTACCTGGGAAAAATAGGTGTTCTTTGTAGGTTGTACTAGACCACTTTTGCTGAATGAACCACTGCAGGTAATAATTTATGTAATATACTCAAATGTTCCTCAATACTACATATGTTCTACAAATGTTCCTACTACACTACTACTACAAATGTTCCTCAATACTAACGATATAGCAGATATAACAATGGACAGCCAAGGCACTGTCAGCTTTTCATAGTACTCTATGGCAAAATAAACTGCTTATAACAATGCTGTCATGCTGCAATATCGGTTATAAATATTAAATGTGGGCACTGGAATCAACCCTGAATGAAACGAAAATGCCAAAATTTTGCGACAATGCCACCCCAACCACGCCTATTGCACAAAAGGGCATGAGAGCATACATGCAGCAGCCAGGCGATAGCACACTTGGCCTCGGAGGCTCGCATGCCACCGCTGCTTTCGCCTGCCACGGAGGAGGGGTAGGAGGACCAGGTGGGCGCCTCTATGGGCAGTGGGGCAGTCCATTTTAAGGGTGTGCCGCCTGTAAAAAAAAAGCACCGGGCCGCGACGCTCCTGCTGATGCAGAAGTGACCGAACCTTGGCAGTCAGTGAATGATGGTGATGGAGACGCGTCTTGACTTGAGGAGTTCTTGCACGCCGACTACGCAGTAGCAACAAATGAGGACTTCAACGACGAGGCGATCATCGCTGCGATCACCGACACGGAAGACGACAGCAGTGACAACGAGGAAGGAACCGAAACCCATGCAGGTTGTGTCGCATCAGGAAGCGCTGCAAATGATCAACTCCCTGCTCGATTTTGTGTTTGCTAAAGAACCTTCCACTCGGCCACGTGCAGCAGTTGGATACATTGCAAAAAGATGTCAATAAGAAGGCCAGTAAGAAGTCGAAGTTGACCGTACGTTTCTCACCGATTGTCTTGACCGAAGAAGAGATGACGTATCTTGGAATGAGGATTACGTGCAAGATAAGTTTGTGTTTTTGTGCATGCCAAAGATTGATGTGAATAGGGCATGAAATAAACAGTTGGAAGTTTAGCGCCTGCCCTTTCTTTAAGTCTGTGTCATCGTTCCTTCTTATATGTACCGCGTTAATACAAGCTAGGGTGCAAGATGCAACTTTGTTACAATGAGGTTAGAGTGTCGCAATGCCTTAAATGCGAAAACATTACCGCATTAGGCCGCACCTTATCTGGAAGTAGATAGCAAGGTTCCACTTGGCCATGAAGCGCACGTAACACGGCTGGGCTCGCAGGTTCTCCACCTGAGACACGTTGTGGCAGAGGCGTTCGAGGCGCTCCAGAAACGCCACGCTGGCCGAAAAGCGCCAGTTGGAAGGACTCCGGGTCGCCCGCGTTGAACACCCACGGCAACCGCTCCTCTAGCATAGACACCAGCTGTGGGAGGATCGCCCTCTCCAAAAACGCGTAACCGGTCGCGTTCGTCTCTGCAACGCTGCACACAAATTGCAATAACACTAAAATGAAAGTGTGATGGCCCAAGCGACTTGGGTAACGAGTTTAGAAATGACAAGCAAGGAGATGGGCCAACTGTAACTCTGTAAGACACTCCATTAGATATTTGTTATGCTAAGAAAACAACCAAAGATACAATACTACTCTGGTTACAACTTAAGAAAAGGCGTCCATCCCACAAAGATAATTTGCATAAATTCTTCATCCAATAGCGATTACTCTTTTTTGTGGCATGAAGCACTTTTTACTTTTCAAGTGTTTCAGGTAATTTTTTGCGCAGACACATGTAGACCAGCCGTTTTAGGCAGCAAACGTGAAAGTCTTCGTGAATTTCCTTGAGTACTCCGACATTGTTGCACAGCTAAAGGCAATGTTTTAGGTATCAACGAAGAACTTTAGCTCTTAATATGCCCAGTATCTACATTAGTTGAGAAAAAGTATGTAAGCTTCGTGTGGAACCAGCTGGTACTAGCTCTGGTCTTTCAGAGGTGAATTGCAGGTGTGTCGCGATACTGTGGGCATAGCCAACATTTTTTTTTTTTTTTTAGGTTGTAGCCGAGTATAGAAACAGACTTTATCAAGAAAACTGCTCTATGGCTTAGCGTGTACTCGCTGAAAATGTGACAAGTGCCTTTCAGCGTGAAAAATGTGTATTTCTGAGAGCTTTTTGTGATGCATTGACTGATATAGCTGAACAAAAAATTGTACACTAAAGCTGTTCAATAATATCTCAAACAAGGCTGTTTATGCAAGCCTGAAAACTGGCCTTTGAATGTGCACGTGAATGAAAACTCCTGAGCATCTTCGCATTTCAATTTCGTCAATGCGAAGTGTAGCAGTAGAACAACAGGGAGCAGTGCTTAGCTAAGTGTTTAGAAGGATAAAAGAATGCAAGGAAGTTAGCAAGGCCACGCACCTGGCGACTCCGAGAGTGAGGTCGAGGAGCGTCTGGCACTTGGTGCTGACAAACATCATCACCTGGTTGTAGACACCATCCAAGCCAACCTCCTGAACCACTTTTTCATTCACCATCTGGCACATATGAAGCAAAAGAGAAGGTTGATGGTCGAAGTACTAAACAGAAATAAATGCTGTTTCAGCATTGTGAGAAAGTCTTCCAAAAGATGTGACTCAACACACATTTGCACATATTAGCATGAACTGATGACATTCCCTGTGTAAATTATGGAAATTCTGATTGAATTATCACTTATCGTTATGCAAAATGTGCAAAATCAGCCAGCTTTTTCAGCCTTATGCTACGAAACCTCCTTTTGTATGGCATTCATGTATGCTTCATCTAAAGGGGAAGGGGGAGACAGGTAGCATTTTTTCCCTCTCTCTCTCTCTATCTGTTCTTTCTTGGTCTGAGTAATTATGCACTTTGTTTGGTGGCCACCTTTCTTGGTAAAAGGAAGTCTAACTGCAGCACTGCGTCTGCTCCTGTACACAGGAGCATAAAATGTGAAACCGAGGCATTCCATACGAATGTCAGGCAAACATTAGGTCATGCCCAAAATTAAGAGCAATTCTGGACAGTCCTGAATTTAGTGTTCTCTACACAATGCACTTTGCCAAACTGTCGGTATACGACTGCTTCCCTCTCGTCACTTCTTTCCAACAACTTGACAACTTGACAAGGCGTCCACATTAGTGAAACGGTCCTTGCACTTACAACCAAAAGCATTTGTTTCTTTCACCAGATTCCCAAACTTAGGTCTGTGATATTACATTTATACACACTACAAGACCGTCTTAGACATTCACAAGCTTAGGAGGCATACAGATAAACTTCATTTATGTTTGTTCCATCTGCTATGAAATAAAAACGTCAAAGGAAACTCAACATGGAAATATGGAATAGAAATAGGAAAGAATATGTTATACCAGCCTAGCTTTGCCAATCGAACAAGCCTTGAAAACTGCTTCAACAGTGAGCTATCCAAGGCAGAGCACCCACCTCGTCTAGGGCAGGCGCAACAATGCGCTTGCGGAAGAGGTCCTCGACGGCTTCAACTCGATCGAGCGTGGCGTAGATCCTCAGCACAGAGCTCAGCTCGGCCTGGCTGTCGATCTTGAGCCCGCGCAAGAAGCTGTCCTCAAGGTGCCTTTGAAGCAGCTCAGTCACAGCGTTCACTCTCTGGAAGATCGTAACACAGTGGGACAGCTCAAAAGATCAAACCAGGAACAGCAACTGCAGCGCAAATTCGCATAAGATCTAAGTGAAAACAAAACACAGCGACACAAACATATGAGAGTGTTCGCCCTGTTTTGCTTTCGTTTATGTGCTGTGCTAACTGATGCTGTAACGATGATGATGATGATTGGGGTTTAACTTCCCAAACCCACCATATCATTATGAGAGACGCCGTAGCGGAAGGCTCGAGAAATTTTGACCACCGGGGGTTATCTAACGTGCACCTAAACACGGGCCTCAAGCATTTTTGCCTTCATCAAAAATGCAGTTGCCGCGGCCAGGATTCAATCCCACAACCTGCAGGTCAGTAGCCGAGTGCCTTAGCCACTAGACCACCGTGGACGGGTGTGCTGCGGTTATGGAACACTACTAAACAGACAGAGGAGAAGCGGCGATGGCGTAGTAGTTAGAGCAGTCCGCCTCGCATGCAAAAGGTCCGTGGTTCAAATCCTGGTGCCGCGCAGTTCTCAACCGAATAAAAAAAAATCCGCGTGGTGATGGAACTGCATTAAGAGGCCTGGGGTGTGGCCTCACCGGTAACCACCGCCAGTAATGCACTTCCTCACCAGAAAAGGATTGGCCACCCTGGTGCAGTATCTGGCCACTACCTCCCACATGCATACACCGCGTTAACTGGCGGATCATGGGAGAGGCCTTTGTCCTGCAGTGGACGTAGTCAGGCTGATGATGATGACTGAACAGCAAACATTCTAGAACTGCACCAAAAGACACTGAAGTAAAATACTAAATTAGTTCAGACTGATGAATTATTTTTTGAAAGCTCTATTGTGATTTTACTGGTATTGGTTTTTTATTAAAAGAGAAGATACAGTCAAAGATGTATTTCTGAATTTCGAGCTCAAACCTCAGTAAGCTAATTGGACCATAGCAGGCTCCATCAAAATCTTCAAAGTTGGAATGACTTGGTGCAGGCACCTTAAGGTAACGTCACCACCTGTATTCTTTTTTGGAGTTTTACGCCTTCAACAAAAAGGGCTGAAAATGCGCTCAACAACACAATTATCCAAGGCTACTGAAGAAAACAAGTTAAATGCAACAAAATCGTGGCTACTTCGCTTTTAAATATATGAAACTCAATTGTTTTTACTAAGCAAATGTAATGTCTTAATACACTTAAATTTATACAATGCTTCATTTTCGAGAAAAGAGCAAAGCAAAAAAAAAAGGAGGACGACCTTAATTTCAGGTCTGGCGGTCCCATGCCACCAATTTCCCACAGGGTGGGTGCCCTTCCACTGAGACTATGAACTTCATTCTGCTGAGCACCAGGCCAAAAGTGCACTCACACCTATTTAGCCAGAAGGTGCCTTGCCGCAGCAATTCTCTGCCTCTCACAGCAGCAGTGAATACTCAACTATTTCACCAAGGCTGTCGTGGATTAAGGTATGCCTAGGAGCTTTCACAGAACCTTATGGGGCTACTTTTTAAGATGGCCACCCGAAAACAACCGAGTGCCAGGTCGGTGTACTCCTTTACCCATTGGGAAAAACCAGCGGGTTCCCGGTAGGCACTAGGAATCGAACCCGGTACCTACCGCATAGGAAGCGGACGCTCTAACCATGTAGCCACTGCAGCGGTGGTTTTTGGGATTACAAACCCTACCTCAGCCAGTGCTCCAGCCAGCTTGACCTGCTTGCATTTGCTGAGGTAGAAGAGCACCTGGTTCACCTCTATGGCCACCTGCTCCACTTGCTCATTCGTCCACCTGTCAAGGTAGGTGACACATTAACAGCAAAACGTCGTGGTAGAACTAAACCTTAAGTCCCTTCTCAACGTAATGCTATACTGCAATGGTTGTAGAAAGCGAGAAACTTCACAGACAATTGTACAACGATGGGCCATCTCAAGGTTATTTCACTGCACTCTGTGCAACCCTACATCCAAAACAAATCTCAACACGTTCTTTTTCACGGTACAACGTGCTCAATGCTGCAGGCATCTGCAGGATTCTCCTGCATGCTACCTGCTAGACTCCAACACAGCTATGTAATAGAAGCAGTTTGGATGCCACAGTGCAGCACGCTTGCTGAAAACTGCCAACAATGCCAATAGAAAAAGTAACTCTCCTCAGTGATAAAAACCTAACACACTGCACAAAAATCCCGTGTTGATGGAGTGTCATGAGCACCATATGCATCATGCACAAACTGGCAGTCATCTTTTAAAGGTCTCTATGGCAGTCAAAGCTTTACTTACTGGTGCAAAAAATGGTGCTAATCAGTAATACTAGTACTAAAGCCACCAGCAAACAACTTGATCTTCACCACTGAGCACAAATTAATGGCTCTTTGTGTAAATGTCCCACCTGTCCATGCGATCTGGAGACGGTAGAAGGCGCTCGATCTTGTCCACACTCTTGGAGACAGCTATCGCTTGATGCAGTAAAGCCTGATTCGATTACAAAAAACAAAGCAGGAATACTTTTGTTTAAGCACAGCTTCAGGTAGGCAATGAAACAGCTCCGTCAAAAATGCAACAGTCATCACCTCAACATCATTGTAAACATACACCTATCCTATGTCTCAGCTGCAGGATTAAGGTGCTTCTCATTTGTCTCCACTTGGTGACATTGACATAATTTAGAAAGGAACACGAACAGGTATATACACCCACTGCACTCATTGGGCAAAGCACGATACACATAAAATCAAAATCCCCCCCTCCCCCTGGCATTATTGCATTACAAATACCAACATACTAATGTCAATCAACTAAGTGTGCAGGTCGACCTATTCTATTTAGTTGAAGTCATTCAACAAACTAAATTGTGCTTTAAAAATTCATGGGTCACGATGTAAGCCTGGTGGCCATTAGGGAGTATGCAAGGTATCCTAACAAATGTGTGTCATCAATCGTTCACTGAAGTGGTGTTTAAACCAACGTCATTTCCTTCACTCGTGTGAACACTACCTACTAAGCAGTCCAATGTGCATCAAATGTCACACGACTGCTCCATTACACGACCACGTTCATTGTGTGAATCCTGCTTATCTTGCCTTTACTGACAGTAAATTTCTGCTGTTTTCTTGTTTCTTAATGCAAATACATATAATTTTTCATTCCACTGATCGTCTAGCATTCCCCTAGGTTTTTTTTTTTCATTACCCTCCAAATTCAATAAGTAAAATCAGGGACAATTATATGTTTTACACAAGTACGGTTGAAAGGTAAAAATCCTGCTACAATAAGACATTGCAAAGTGTTTGATCAACATACAAAAGAGAGAAAAGAGAGAAAAATGGCCTGTATAATGAAAGCGTTCCAGTCACTAAATTCTCTTTTTCACCTAGTACCCACTGATCCTGGTGGTAACAGTGGCAGTTAACTGATTGAACCACTGACAAAGCATGTTGCATTATCTTGGTGGCTGTTACACATGAGTACACCAAAGTCGATCAGTTAGGCAAGATAGTTCACGTTTATGAATAAAAATAAAACTCTTCTTACACATAAGTACACTAAAGCCGAGAGGAAAGGAAAAGAAGCTTTTTGCATTTCAGCACCTATTAGTTCGCTTTCTGTTCTGACAACATTTGCAACACAGCTTTCCAATGACGCTGAATGCAAATAATGATCCTGAAAGGTTAGAATGGCATGTACAACTGGTTGGCTTTAAAGAGCCACAAGTATGAAAAGCTATTTAACAGAACTTGTTAGTATGACATCCACGCTGCAAGTAAAAAGTTGAGGCAGCCAAATGACAAAGGTCGCTTACCTTTTTTTCCTGAACAGCTCGCCTGGCAGCAAGTTCAGTCTCGCTTGTGTCAGGGCTGCTTTCGAAACGAAGTGTTGGCTTCCTGTGAGTAAATTTTTCATCGCTGTTGTTTTTTTCTTCACTTGCCTCGAGTCTACATAGTTTCACATCTAGCTCTGCCAGTCCTGACATGTACAGGAAGTGGATTCGTGCTGTAATTTAGCTTGACAAGAAAGAAGAAAAAAACCGTGACACGTACGTTTACTTCTTTCTTCAAGTCTTCGAGCGGCTTGGAGATGTTCCTGATGAATTTGTCCAATCCGACCTGAATAATGAGCACGGATGTGAACCAACAGTTATAGATGCACAGCTTTGCCGCCGCCCCTTCCGCCACCCCCAAGAAAAAAAGGAAAACAGAGTCGATCATTAAAAGCGTAGCCGTCAGCCCTCACCAGATTAGCTGACAAGTTGACGAAATCCGCGTAATCCTTGTTGATCAGCTTGATCATCGACGATCGCAGGAACTTCAGGTGTACGACCAGGTCATCGCGCAGCTTCTCTAAGCTGGCACGCTTCCTGTGCTCACTTACAAACGTATCCACGGAGAAGTTCTCCTGTAAAGACGGCAGCAGTAAGATCAACCACGCAAATGTTCGAGGGAGGTTGACTTACGAGCAACAGCCGCCGAAACCAACTAAAATTCGGTACGTGCACGGGACAAGAGACGAGATGAAGAAACTTACACCCATGAACACATCTTTGTGGAAGCACAGGCTAACCGCCGGCTCTTGCAACAGCTTGTCAGCGAGTACGCCTTCCATGATTGCCCACTTCACCGGCAAAGACACTCGGCTACCTCGAAACTGCCCGGCCCAAAGCTGCCATCTTGCCACCTCAGACAGTACTCGGTTCCAGCCGGTCCACACCAACACACTGCCTGCCCGATATCGTTTTGAAAACACAATGCACCTAAAAACTTCATTTTTACATTACCATTTTATATTATCAGTATGTAGTGGCAAACATTATTTGTCAAAAAAGTTTTTTTTTTCAATTTATTAGTTACAAGTCTCAGAGGCACCACTACGTCACGAAAACAATAGGTCCGTTCGATTCACCTGCAACGGTCGGAACCGGTTCACGGCTGTGCACGCGAAGTTCAGAAATTGTGCAGCGTGAGTTCAGCGGTGCAGGCACAGCACGACACCCGAAACAAATGACGATGTACCGACAAGGTGTTCGCCTTATTTCTTTTCAGTTAATTTACACCATTCAGCAAACACCGACCTATGGCGAAACGCACATGCGGACAGTTTATGAAGCGCAAACATCTTGGCAAAACACACCGCATTTGTAGAGGCGGGCACGGCGCCTAAGCCACCTACGTCTAAGTGCTGCGTCGTCTGTCAGCTGCACGCGCGCCTGCATTAAGCCGGCACCGTCAGCGAAGGAGGTGCAGGAAAATTGTGAACCGGTGCTGCACCTCTTCTGCATCTTTCAAAACAAATGGCAGGGTTCAGCGGTGGTAAATGGTGCACCGCTGAAACGAATGGTAAGGTGCAGCACCTCGTGAACTGGTTCACGTGGTGCAGGCGAATCGAACAGACCTCATATAATTGCCTAGCAACGGATTTGTTTACGCTCCTGCCATGGATGCAGACGACCTCGACGACTTGGAGTCTCCCGTCAAGAAAGTATGTCCCGGCAAGCCGCGATTGCGAGCCTACCCGAGATAATTTGCAATCGTCATCAACGTCTTTTACTGCCCCGATTTTTTTTCCAGACCTTTAGCAGTCGCGCGCGCCGGCTAAACATATTCGGAAACAACACCTCCGACTTACCCACCAACGCATTCGCATCAAATGGAGTACGTCCGATTAATTAATGCACAATTATCGCGTTCTTGATGACAACTCTCTCAAAATGTCATTTCGCTTGCAGAGCGGTGAAGCTTCCAAAGCTCCTCCTAAACCGAGAAGAAATAGCGGATGGGCGGCGGAGGATAGTTCGTCGTCTGGGCTGTTTCGGTTTGTCAACTGAAATTTTCAATCATAATAGTTTGAATTTGAGAGTACATTCCATGAACCTCACTAGGTTGTAGTATGCACGGCCCCCGATATCACTTATCTGCCTCAGGTGAAAATTTTTCAACACAATTCTAGTTACAATATCTCTTCTTACTGCTTTTACTTCTCCTGCAGCATGTGAAACCATAGAACTTTGGTACAAGTAATAGAGAAAAAAAAAAGTATTCATGTTCAATTGGCTTTACTGGTAACTTAAACATTAATTCAAGCAAACAAAGTGAAATAAACTGCATCACTGCATTAACATAAAGTGTACCGGAATGGCTGTTTAAATAGCTAGCTGAATATTGCATGAGTTCATCTCTAACTTGATGTTTTTGGCCTGATAGCATGCAAATCATTCCCACATGCAACAATTAAAATAATTTAAACTTTAGCATGAAACGCCATTATACAGCTTCTGAGCTTCATTATGATGAAGCCATATTTCTGACCCCATTGAAAATAGTACCTCCATTATGATCAGTATGCATCAACGCATGCTAATGACTGCCGAGAAGCTTTTGGATTACTTCGCTATGTGTGATCATTCGTTATATCAGTGTTTCTCATACTCGACCACAATCAAAATGAAAAATTATTCGTAGCAGCACTAAGCAGTTAGAAATGTTTTAGACCAATGTGAACTGGCCAAAAGCCAGTGGGAAACTTTCACCTGAGGTGGCATGACACTGACACACTCGCACAATGTCGCACCTAATTGGATGACCCCTACATATCTCTTCCCTTTTTGCCAACTCACAGCTTCAGACGGCCGTCTGCACGTCCCCAGAGCACCGTCCCGATGTGAGTTCCTTGTGTGTCATTTGCAAGCATGCTCCACTCTTGGTGTACCCATAAGAACGACACTTTTTCTGAGAATGGGTGTGTTGGCTGACACATTAGCTTGGAGGTATTGAAAGAGGATGATTACTTTGAGGCACATACTCTGGTTGGTTACAACATAAGAATAAATACGAGCTTTGCCGAAATATTTCATGGTGGCTTCCTTTCAAACTGCAAGTAATTTTCAGTGCTAATGTATATTCTCCACGCAAATCAATAACTAAAGGTTTGTTACTATCACCTAAAGTGCCACCTTTGGCAAAACAGTAATATTGAAATCTCTAATTAAATCTGCCAAGATTTTCAATTTTCTACTGAAAATGAGCAACATCAACATGTATCTGTATCAAAAAAAGGTGATTTAAGGTCCATGAAACGACCAAATATTATAACAGAGTAGTTACCACATGGACACTGGATACCAACTGTTCAATATACTGGCCAGCTTCAGTGTGACCACAGCAGTCAATGCAATAAAATTATCCAAAAAGCAGTAACTAAAAGACAACAGCAATGAGGGGACAATGCAGAGTAGTAGTGATGCTCCAAAAAAGTGCAACGATCTGCGCACTCGTCTGATCGTGTTTTTAGAGCACTCAATTTGCCAAAAGGTAAAATTCCTTCCCACCAAACTTTATGTTAGTTAAGTTTGTCACATGAGGAAATATTCTCTACACCTTTCTGTAATTGTTGGTGCATTTAATTGCTGAAAGGTAATTATATTACTGAAAATATTGCCGCCAGAAAACTTTTGCAGGTACACAGCACATGAAGTTCTAATGTGATGGGAAAAGATAGTGCGAACGAGCCTAAAACAGTTGGTGGTCAGCGCTTATGTAACTCCATTATGTATGCGTGTCTATGCCACCCCTGTCCTACTGCACCACTTTAAATTTAGTGCCAAGTATGCTCTCCCATCATGTGCACCAAATTAGTACTTGTCAAGCAATGCCATCCTAGATAAAACTGCCTCCATGCACTGTCAAAACGATCTTAGATCATAAATACACAAAGTCATCTTGAGAAACGTCGAGCGCTGACTAAGACGGAGACAAAAGTGAGGGAACTACACCTCACCCGTGTCCCTGTCTTAGTTCCTGCTCGAAGTTTCTCAAGATATACATGTTCGGTCTTACACAAAATAACTAGTGACATGTGATGCTAAAGAGCTCTTTGTAGCTATTGAAGCAATTGCATTCTGTGATCACCTCCTACAAGAGAGATTTTGAAGGTTAGTATAGTGGTTGAAAAAAAAAAAACACTACATACAATTAACATGGCAATCTTTTTCTCGATGTACATTTCAAACCTACTTCATCAGTTTACAGTTTTCAACAGAAACCACTGAGTGTGTGAACTTCATGAAGTTCTGCACGTTATACTCAGAACATAACATATTAACCTAGTAAGGAACATGCCACAGGTTCAAGCACATCAATAACAAGCTGGAAATTTTTAGTACAGAATGACAGCAGTCAAAGGACTTCATTTTCTTTAATATACATGCGAGTGCTGGAAGAGCGCTTAATATGCCAGTTGTTCTTTCTTTTCTATTGCTTCAGCGAAGTTCCAAAGTTGACCAAAAATGAGACCGTCTTAGAAAGAGACGACTCTGATTCGGGTAAGGCAAGAATGCGACGTTCGGCATCCTCGCTTCCCTTTACTATGTGAGGAAGTGAGCTTCTGTTGCTTTTTCAGAGATCCCCAGCATACCAGACTTGGGAGACTTTGAGCGCGAAGATCTTACCGCTCAAGTGGCTCAAGCTCCGAGGTAAGCTAAATTTGCATGCGACTCAAAAAAATTAAATGATAGGACTTGAACTGAAACTGAAGAGAAAAACGATTTTTTTTTCTTCGTATTAGTAAATTACTATGGCGTTATGGCTAAAGTTTTCAGAGTGTAACTCATCAGCCTGCACTAACTTATTGTTTCTTTTGCATTTTCCTTCAACATCTTGAAAATACCAATGAAGGTTCATGAAAGAGTCAACGTAGCAACAACCTTAGGGTTAATTTATTCGAATGCAACTAAGAGTTATAGATGTTGCATTCCAGGACCTGGGTCAAGATGTTATGAAACATTCAAGAGGGCGGAGAGCACCAAGAGACATTTATACCACGCTCCCACACACTCAAATCAAATATCATTAGGTTCTTACACAAAGAAGGCAGCCTATTCATTGGTTCCTTTTGTTTTATAATCATTGTGCATGTTTTATCATTACATCGCATTACCCCCTTACACAATGCCTTTAGAGGCCTGTAAGATCATCATCATCATCATCATCAGCCTGACTACGTTTACTGCAGGACAAAGGCCTTTCCCATGTTCCGCCAGTTAACCCGGTCCTGTGCTTGCTGCTGCCAATTTATACCCGCAAACTTCTTAATCTCATCTGCCCACCTAACCCTCTGTCTCCCCCTAACCCTTCTGGGAATCCAGTTAGTTACCCTTAATGACCAGCGGTTATCCTGTCTACGCGCTACATGCCCGGCCCATGTCCATTTCCTCTTCTTTATTTCAACTATGACATCCTTAACCCCCGTTTGTCTCCTAATCCACTCTGCTCTCTTCTTGTCTCTTAAGGTTACACCTACCATTTTTCTTTCCATTGCTCGCTGCGTCGTTCTCAATTTAAGCTGAACCCTCTTTGTAAGTCTCCAGGTTTCTGCTCCGTAGCTATGTACCGGCAAAATACAGCTGTTATATACCTTCCTCTTGAGGGATAGTGGCAATCTGCCTGTCATAATTTGAGAGTGCTTGCCGAATGTGCTCCACCCCATTCTTATTCTTCTAGTTACTTCAATAATATCTTAAAGCCTGTAAGATACCGTCAAATAAATAAATTTGCAGTACCACGTGCAATTAGGTACGACCTATCTTATTCAGTAATTGTAATAGCCCTCATTGGTTGAATAAATCAAGATTATAATTATTTATGCCAAATTCAATCTTCAATTTTGATCATGAAAACAAGCATGAGACTGTGGCATTATACATCTACCATATTGCACATTTCCTGGTTGTAAGCAATAAACAAGCACAACTGGAAGTAAGAAGCTTCATATTTAGTTATGAAAGCAATGTTAGAATTTCTGAACATGCAAACTTATGTGCATTGTCAGGGCAGTTAATAAACTCAGGTTTAGGAGCCGACCGGTAGCTTGATCAACGGCCCAAACCAATGGACTCCAAGACCGAGTGGCATCAAGAGCAACGCGTGGTTGAGACACACCCTACGAGATGTCACTGGAGTGGGTGGTCTGCTATAGTATTTGTTCCTGTTCAATACAGCATCAAAAGAAACACCAGTCTTAGTAGGCTGCCTCAGTCACTCATTAAAGAAAATTGCAGTGTCTATTAATTGGCCATTAAGAAACCAAAATAACCACCTAAACATTCAGTACCATAAAATGTCTTAGTGTGAGGACACATCTATCTTCTAAAGAAAACAATAGTGAAGGATAGTGGACTTGTACAGGCCTGCAAATAAGCCATCTTCACCATTTTCGTGCAACGTGCCTCAGGCCAGGCCAGTTCCACCCAAGCTTAAGTGCCGGATCCATGGACCTTAACACCAATTATTATTAGACCTTATACACAAACCAAATTTACATGTATTTTTACAATGCCTTGGGGCAAGCTTTTGAAAAAAAAAATATTGAAGAAATTAAGTTCACTTCTCAGCAGTAGCAAATGCTCACTTTATGCCAGTTGAAATGTGAAAGCAATAAAGCAGAAGATTAAGCCGTGTTTACATTCCTTTGCAGCGTCCCTGTGAATCGTGTCGACACGTTCCAGCAACTGGACAATGAGCTGCTGAAGCAGACAGCGTTCGCAACACTTGTGAGTGGCAGTGCCCGAGAACGGTGACAACGTAGGACTCAAACCAACTTGTCTGTCCTTACCCTTCTGCATTTCTGAAATGTTTTGCAGCTTGTGCACTAAAAGATAGTCCATATTTCTCACCCATCTCTCAATTTCACTTGCAGGATGGATGTGACCTCAGACTGCTCGCAAAGTACCTGACTCCTGAAGAATACCTCAAGGAGGTAAAGAATGTATAGATAGAAGTGATATAGGCGTGTGCATCGGGGGACGAGAGAATGGGGCATAGCTATCTCTATGCATTGACGTAATACGAAGAGAGGGGGGCGAATTCAGCTTTGTACATTTGCACAATATAGAGGGGATGCTGCTATGAACCATCGCCCATACTGAAGAGAAACCCTGCGCACACCCATGGGAAGCGATATGAGCTAGGACAACGACGCTATGTTTTCATGTTCATAGCGGCTGCAAGGGCCCCCACAAAGTGGTCATAACAATATAAATGATCAAGCAGAAACATATCAGCGGAATATCAATACATCACATTCATATCAGTATTATACAGGTAATCATAAAAAAAGCATTAACTCAATATTTCGCTCATACTGTTCATGATAGTACATTCATCTAATGCATGCACATACCCATTCATGAGCTATTACCATACAGTATTCTTTCGTTTAGCTTCGTGTGGTTTTCTCTACTATTTTAAAAATTGTGGTATCCGAGTCAGCTTCACGAATCATTCAAAAACTTTCCTCCCAAATAAATTTAGAGGGCAAAGTGTATCAGCTGGCCACACCACTCAAATTTTCTATTTCACTGCAACATCATAGTTAAAACAGTTCTCTGTGGCTATGAAATGTGGTGCTTTCGTCCCAATGAAAGTGATGCCTCTTGCATAGAACTGCCACAGATGAACTTGCTTCAAATTTACAGAGCACAAAACTGTTAAATAATGCCAACATAGTGTTAGCGTAGATTCAATGCAACACGATAATGTCCGTGAAAGATTCCCATGCGGACGAAACAGTGGTATAGTGGAACGAATCCAATGAACCAGGTTCTTGCGCTTATGAAAAGTTCCCTTCAGTCACACAAAAACAAATAAACCACACTTGACGGGACACCGGAAAAGCCTGGTTAGTGAAGATTTTTTACATCCCGTATAGTTCTGCAGAAAAGAACCACTGGCCAAGTTATGTCATGTCACAGCTTCTTGCTTTCTTCACAATGTAGTACCAAAGCTACTTGCCCCATTCTCTCGATTATAGGAAACTGGCAATCCTTCAAGGGTAGTATAGAACCGAAGAATGATGCTATCTGTGACACAATAACCATGCCTCTTTTCATCAACTGCCCAGGCATGTTACCATTTTGTAAATGAGCCGCCCTGCCAGCTTACAGACTTGATATCTTTACAGCCAGACACGGTGTGGACGTGGGACACTCTATTCACCGAAGTGGCTGCCGAAATCAACAAGTCAAGCGACGGCACACAGGAGGCCGACGACAAGCAAAACATGCCGATGTGATCGCCTTTACTCCTACACTCTGCTTTTTATGTGCAATGCAGTGAATATTGGCATAACATTTTCTGTGTTCACGCAACGAAATAGTAGTTCATTGTTTCCTTGTCAGAAATTACGTAAAATCATTCTTCATTCAAGCTCGATTATGAAGGGAAAAAAAAGCCTTTAATCATTGCAAAACAAAAGTGGGGCATGCAAAATAAAGGACAGAAGAGAATGTGGTATCACAAAAGAGGACACTCTTATTCCCACATTTGTCTGTCTCACTGATTCTTGAAATAAATTCCATCACCTCCGACGAGCCCCGGCGAACGGGAGTCGACGGACGGAAAAGATTGCTTGGCTCACCGTCTGCAGTCCCGGAGAGTATCTATCTGCCCGCTCCCGACTCAGCGCGCGAAAACCTCTCGGGAGACTCCGCGCGCGGCGCCACAATCAACATTCACTACCGGGTGAGAGGGTTAAACGTCACTCAGCTCCCCCAGCGCGGCAGACAGCGGAGGAGGGGAGGCATGTCAAGACATGAGAACAGCAGAAAAGGCGGCAAAGCCCGCGCAAAAGCAGCAAGCTAGCCTCAATTCCCACAGTCTATAAAGCTTTTGTTTTTGAAAGTATCAATCTCTTAACTATGAATAAATTGAGTTGTACAGCTGTTTATGGATAGTTTCTAATTACTTTAGGCTAGGTCTGAGAAGGTACAATGAGAGCCCACTATTAAAGCATGACATTCTACGCTTAATCATTCAAAGTATGTACTTTAACCAGTGGAGCAGAAAGGTAAAACCTGTGAACAGCGCAACTACAGAATGCGGAAGCTGTGAGCGGTAACTAAATCCACAACCTTGTCTTCAGTAACAGGATACCACACGGTCATTGAGCCAATGAGTTGCCAAACAATGCCACACATAAGTACGAGAGACTCCAGCCATAACTCATGCCAAGTAGCAATTTACCTAACAGAGTATGATGTGTTTTTCCGTACATTAAACATGACCTCCGAGTGTCTGAAGACTCTTCATCAAAATATACCATTCTTTGACATTCAAACTAAGCACACTCTTCCACAGTGGCTGCAAGAGGCACGAAAAATAAATCGGTGCTTGCTAGAGAGAACGGCAGGGCTAATCACAAGTATGGAACCTAGAGAGCTCACTTTTGTCCCAAAATTTATAAATACTTGTTTGTGTTGACTAACATTAGCAACAGAAGCACACAGTTATTAGTTCTACATTGGTTTGGTACATTAAACACCACATATCAATCATTAGTTCTACGTTGTCCAGACATAATGCTGATAACTCCACACTATCCAGCAAAAGTGGCTCTCCAGTGTTTTATTCAGTTGAACATTCCAAAGCAACATTACAGATACAGGGCTCTGGAGCGGAGGACAGATTCATATTGCCACAAGAAATTACCATTGCTCCGTGCAACGCGGACGTTGGGAACCAGAGAAACGCTAACGGCACGACTACGAGCGACGAAGCCAGCCGCAATGCACGAGCCGGCCCTGCATGCGCCCGGTACTCCGCCGAACAGCCAACGTGCGTGAAGAAGAAGAGAACGAGGGTGCTCGAAGGCAGAGACTCACGAGGACGGCTGCCCTTGGATCTTCTTGATTGCTGTGCGTCGTTCACTTTGGGCACAAGTTCGCCCTTAATAAACCAGTGTAAATAGAACACCCTTGTTGTGAGGCTGCTACATTCGTTACATTTTCTGGTGGAGGTGCGTTAATTGGAGGTGCGTTAATTTCCTGTGGCAATATCAATCATTGTACTCGGAAGAAGTCATAAAGTGTAAAAAAATGCATCTAAATTTTTAACACGCAAAAAAATGGCAGATATGAATGTTGTTAACAATAACCAATTCTTCTCCCATAACGTGCACTTTCTATGCCTTAAACAAACTGTTTGGTGCTAGAAAAAATTTTTCTGATTGTGCTGCAAATTAGAACATCACATTGACGCCAAAGCATGCGCTTTTGTCCTATAAAAAGGCATTATAATTTTAACTTGATGTTGAAAGTCGACAAAAATGACCATTAGCATCACCCAACAGCAGTGTGGTAAATCTACTGGTAGGACAAGTAATCCATGCAGGTTGACTGACTCTTTTGCTATATAAAAACAAACCTGTGTGACTTGGAATGGTATTTTCCGCACATGAGGCAGCTTTATTTTGTGCCAGAGACTAATATTTGCTTTTTTCTTTCACACTTTCAAAGAGGCGCCCGGCAGCATGTTCGCCTGTAAGCCTGCCTGCAAGCGGCAAAGAAACGCAAGCAAAGCTTCCTTTGCCGCCCATAAAAACAACAAAAAAGAGTGTGCCTGCCTTCAATGACCGCTAAGGTATTTTTTGAATTAATAAACATAACTTGATTAACACTGCAAAAATGAAACACAGTTTCAATTTTCGACTCATTACAATTGTCATCGCCTTTACCGATAGAAGGAGATTGAATGGAGATCTAAAAACATGTTTTAAAAATTTCCACACACTTTCCAGAGAAAGATCTGCATGGTTAGACACTTCAGATGGTACGCTGTCTGTTGCGACACAAAACATAAAAGCAGTGAAGTAAGGTAGACAGTCCCTTTAAGGTAACTATTTGCAATTTATCATGCAGCAAACCAATGTAATGAAACTGTGATTATTGTTGTGTCAGAACACATTTAAATAGAAAAAAAAGAGAACATGCATTCCCACCTTTTGCTGTGGGAAGCGTATTTCATCTTTTGCATGTTCTACCTCATTAAAAACAGAAGAAAAGCTTCATAAAGAAACAGTCATACCTTCTCTTTTGGTGTTCTCCAGGCACACACTATACCATCTGATCACGAGCTCTCGTCATACCAAGCCAGGGCACCAGAAATTACATCAACACATTCAAGACACAGAAAGACCTCCATTGCCAGATTTGGCCAGTGGTAGTATCCCGACCAGGCAAATTTGCCCAGAAACCTAGGCTGTTAAGCCTCGCAAGTATTCTACGAAACATTCTTTCCTTCTCATCCCTCGAGAAGGGTGCTATCCCGGACATTGTCAGAATCTGCCATATCGTCTAATTCTGTAATGGTGGCATTTCCAGTCAATTGGAGAGCCCAATCATAGTTGAAAAGACGGCGGGAATCGACAGCATCCAGAAGAGTGCCATTATCACAATCAACGAGAATAACATTCACACTTCTACGATACCTTCTTGTCCAATAAAGCTTTCCCCCAACACAACATTTAGGAAATCTAAGTCTGTTTACACTACGTCGATGCCTCGAACATTCACACTACTAGCACGCCTTTTAGGCCAAACATGCTTTCCAAAACAGTGCTTAAGAGGCCATAGTCTGTTTACGAGCTACACCTGCGCCAGATATACCAGCAATCACGTGTCTAGCGTCCTAAGCGAAGGCGAGACGTTCCTCTCTAGCACCGTTTTGGGCACGAAGCTCTTGTCTTTGAGCCTCTCGACTTGCGTGACGTCCTGCTGCAAGTCCAACTCGTGCAGTAGCCGCTCCTTGCGCTCTTCGTCAATGCTCGTCTTCTTGTTGGGAGTGCGTCGGTCCGAAATGAGGCCCTCGATGTTGTAGCCGATGATGCCGACGACCAGGGCCACCGGGAAGGTGACGTAGGGCGCGTAAACGCGCAGCGCAGCGTACAACGCTGGTAGAACCATGGTCGCACGTCAGCCGCTGGCGGTTCCTCTGCGAAAGAGCCAGTGTAGTGGAAAAACATGAGGCACGGGTTCTCATGCAAGTTGGTCCCAGGGAACACTGCTATGGTCCATTAGGTGCCAAGGAACGCCTCCCCTGTCACTTACTTTTACGGAAGCATCATTCATTCGCTTCAAGTTAGATTCACATGCAGTAAACTCATGAGCACAGGCGTCTTCGCGAATTGCAAAGGAGCAATTGAACTCACTTTTCTTGCACCAACAAATGGGCGGGAATAATGGGGGCTCCTTAGAACGGTCACACCTAGGTAGTCGCACCTTGGCGAGTGTGGAACCAGGAAAGATTAATCAGTGGCTCGCGGAACCCACTTTGAGAAACCACGGCATAAGGCCTTCGATCCGTTGGGTCCGAACCATAGAAAGGCACTGACACTCATTTGAAGGTTGCGAGCACAGTGTAGTTGCGAATATGAGTGCGAATGAGCCACCAGGGAAGTGAGCAGGCAAGAATACTTTTTGAGTACGTACGGCACATTTTGCGCAGCTCTGCTTTACTATGAACTTGTCAGCGCCGTGCCTCTTACTTCTAAGTACTTGACGTCACAAAGGTCTGACAACCGCAAAATGAAACTAAGATGAGCCACAAGCCATCAAGTCACTCCGGCAGACGGCAATTACAACACGAAAGTTGACACAACTCAACTAGACGAAACTTGAAGCAGCTAGCGCAAATCATTCGACGGGTGAACTAGCGCAGGAACTCTGTCACAGACTTACGTTTTACTTGTCAACCGCTTCAATCCGCTCTGTGAAAAAAAGGAACGTGGCTTTTAGCAGACGCGGAGGTTGTACACAATAAACAAGTTCACGCGTGCAAACGCAGCAGACCGACCTCCATGCTTGTCCGGCGCCACTTTCTTTCATGATGATAGTGATAGCTAATATTTTGCGTAAAAAACTAATGTTTTTGTTTCCACTATTACATAATACGTATACAAAAACTAGAACATAAGGCAGTTATAAAAATGTTCAGTTTGTTTAAACAATTAGTTGCAAATTTAGCTCTACGCTTCACGTACAATGCCTCCGAGATTTAAGTCTTTTGTCGCGAAGTTACCTGCCAGGCGGTCATTCAAGAGCCAAATCGAGCCGAAATTTGAAGCTGGGCAATGGCTGAGCTAGAGTGCCTGTGAAATGTCCCGCCTGCCGACACATTTGTTTAAAGCGTTAAGTTAATCACGGAGCTGCAACAATGTCAACAGTACGGGTTAATCTGTCCGCGGATGTTTACATGGTCTGCCTGAGCCATGCGCTTTCCACGGAGAAGGAGGAGGTCATGGGGCTCCTCATCGGAGAGGTGAGCGCTAAGGAGTTTCGGATTGCCTGTCAAAGTCGTATTCACGCGTGGTCTTTAACGTCGCTTGTCGCTGTTGGTCGTCAAATTGCTCAGATCGACGAAATGAAGGTGGCCCACATATCTGCGGTGATATTGCTGCGGAGATCCGACAAGAGGAAAGACCGCGTCGAAATTTCCCCCGAGCAACTCTCGGACGCTTCAACACAGGCTGAGGTGTGTGTACCTGCGGCGCTTTCGTGCGACAAGGTGCCCTATGCTTAGCTTTTATGTCTCTGTTTCGCTTTGTTTCAGACACTCGCAATAAACTTGAGGAAACCGATGAGAGTTCTAGGCTGGTACCATTCTCACCCGCACATCACAGTGTGGCCATCGCACGTTGGTTGGTGCCCCTTTTGTTTTTCTAGTTTCAAAAATAGGCGTCGAGCCACCGTTTAATCGCGTAACTCCCTCTCCTTCCCTCTCGTCTTTTAAATGCCACGACGTCTTTTGAGCGACTTCTGCAAAATTTCGGTGCGCAGATGTTCAGACCCAAGCCATATACCAAATGATGGACGAAGGATTTGTGGGTCTCATATTCTCCGTGTTCAGCGAAGATGCTACATCTAAGGTAAGCCATCGGCAGTGGAAATATGCAATGTGTGTGCCCATAGTTCAGCAGTTTAGAACATGACTTGCAGGTTGGCGCATCTTATCTTTTTAACATTTTGAATTCTTGCGACCGACTGCACTTATGATGAAAAACGCACTTTGTCACTTGTCTGTCCCGAGATGCCATAGATAGATTTGCGAGAAACACATTCGTGTGCCAAAATTCAATTGGTGCTTGTATGCGTAGATATAGGCGCATATCAAAGAATCCCAAGTGGATAAAATTATTAGTGAGTCCATCATGGCTCCTCACACCCCTAGTGTTGCATTGAGACAATAGGCTCCACGATTCAATCACTGTAACGCAGTTTAATTCGTTCTGATGGCAACAGTGCCTACTGATAAACACGTATTAGTTTTTTCATTTGCACACGTGTTTCACATTTGTGAATGTATTCCAATGCAGTTGAACCAGATTCAAGTTACGTGCTTCCAGTCTGTCAACCAGGCCAGCAATGGCGAACCACAGAGGTGAGATTATTCTATTCTTATATGCACCGATTTGCAGTGTTGTTTGTTGCACACACTTCAAATCACAGCTCAATTTATGATACCTGAATTCTTTAAGGAACCTGGAGTTGTCGTAGCATTAGAAAAATGTTAAATGGCCTTTGCCATATCATCGTAAGTGTGGTAATGAGTTAGCTTTCTGGAATGCACATTGCTAAAATTGCAAATTTAAAACATTGAATGAAGCAGTAGAGAAAAAAAAAAAGAAGTTTTAGAAACACGTTATGAAAGCAGAGTGAAATTTACAGTCTGTATGTTTTCTTCTTCAGGCAAGATCCCTTAACTTTGACAACTATTCCTTTAAAATGAGTATCTAGCACACACAAGGCATGGTATGGTGACCCCTTACACCACTCAGTCCTTGTCTTGTGTTGCACTGTAGATATTGAAATCAAATACCAACATGGCCAAAATTATGTGATTTCAAGTTGCATATTCTTTTCAGATAGCAGTAATCGACAATTGTGATGGCACAAAAGTCGGACTTCAATTCAGCAATGTCCTCCTGCCAAAAACAGGAACAAAAAAATATGTATACATATTAGCTCTGAAAAAAAAAATTGATAAAAACTAGGTTAGGGCTTCTTTTTAACCGTCTTGCTTGAATGCACTAAATTGTAGATGCCAAACTATGTCCCATGGAGCTGCGCTGCCCTTTTTTCTTTTTCAGGTATGTGCGTATGGAGATTCCCCTGCACATAGTGCCCTGCACGTACATCAGCCAAGCATGCCTCGATGCCCTGGTTCGGCTGCCCGAGATCCTCTGCCAGGAGGAGCAGGACATGTACAACATGACTAAACAGGTTCCGGGTTTAGACCTTCTCACCAGAATGCACAACAACTCTGGTGAGTGCACCTGCTTATTTTGATGCCTGGCTTGCTTGCACAAAATTCGCAGTTATGGTAGTGGCACTGATGCTGTTTCTCCACAAATGTAACTTAATGGAATACTGAACAAAAAAAAGAGCACAAGTGATCGAAACCATTTAAATTCTACTCATAAAATACTACCTTATCGATGAACAGAGTTCATTTCACATGTTTTAAAACAGTTGGCTGCATTTTACGAGTATTGTTAGCACGTATTGGCTGCACACCAGCGCAAACCATAATGTCGTAAGTCACTGCAGTGAATGCAAAGTGCAAGTTTTCCTGTCTTCTCCTTCACACTCTACTCTTCCCCTTCCACTAAAGGCTGCAAGGTGTGGCCACTCATTGGATGCTTTATCCCACTTTGGGGCATTGTTCGCTGCCTGTGCCATTTGTAGCAGTTCTGGGAGCCGAGCTGGCTGAGAGACTCTGGGCGACGGCTGGCATTGTTGGCATGTCGATGTCCTGTCTAACTTTACCTCTTCAACTTCATGGCACAGGCGCTAGATGCAGCAGTTTGTGAAACATGCCAAAGTTAATTATTTTCAGCTATTTGCTGTCTGGAATAAAGGTTCCGTCTACAGATTCGAACATCCAATCTTTCAGTTTGGTTGAAGATTGCAGCACCAAAAATTTTGTTTTATATCCGTATAACCCTATTTGTGACAATGACCAAAATGTTCAACTAATCGGCTGACCAATTCCTTTTTGTCAGAAATGTCGCGACACTCGGCCATGCCGCACGACTGCACAGCCATGTGCAGTCGTGCACACTGGCTGTGCCATCAACCTATGCAATCAATGTTTTGTCTTCTCATTCGAGTCTTCGTCAAGGCTCTGTGCAACATTGCGGAATCTGTGAGCGGCCCACTGCTCCAGAGCCTGGAGAATCGGTTGCGGCAGAACCGAGACAAGATCGAGCGCATGCGTGCCGAGAAGGACGAAGCTCCTGCAGAAGATTGCGGTGGCCGAGGCGTGCGCGTCCTGCTCAGGCTGCCATCAGGAGCACCGCCAAGGCTGTGGACCCAAACCAGTGATGTGCGCCGCGTACAGTGTACATACACCAGGAATGAATGGACGCTGATGTGACCTCCAGAAATATATGTGCGGCTTTCTTATGAAATTATCTAGAGTGATCATTTGAGTCCGGGGAGACAACATACATGCCGTTTGGCCATGCCCACATTCGTTTACCGTGAGCTCAAGTCATTGTGGCTACGTTCACTTCGGATGCACCCACTCAGAGTGGATAACAAACTACAGCTACACTTCATTAAATATGCTGTCAAACAGCAGGATCCTAAATAGTGCAAACAGAAATACCATGGCAGAATTAGCTGCATGTGTACTGCAGATCAATCTGAAGAGGAGGTGTGCTCTCCGCTCCCTGTAAACATCTAGCCGTGGCAATTTGAAAATGTAGTGTATAACACACTTTCGCTCAACCAAGCACTTGGCAGCCAATTAAGATAGCTTCTTGTGGAAGAAGTCATTAGCATTTTTTAAAAAGCATGTTTTGTGATGTGGGAGCAAAAAGCGTTGACATAGCCAGAATTGAGGGGCTCAAACACCCCCCAAAATATTGCAATTTTGCATGTGCAAGTTGCATGAAGGGCAGCTGAAACCCACTCACAAATTTCTGTCTATACTCCTGAAAGAAAAGGCAGGTGATGTGGGATTGTGGGGGTAGGTTGTATTGAATTATTGTCGCTATGTATACCCTTATATTAATTTAATTATACCTGAACTTTCACCTAATCTGAATGCCTTCTACATATTATGAGTAAAAAAAATCCGGTGATGCTGATGTCTTCACAAATGGTTGAAGAATGAATAAAAGTCAGCAAAAAGTCACGTCATACACAAGTGAATGAACGTAATGCAGACACCTTCAGCGAAACTCATACACGAGTATTGAAACAAGTAGTGGCTGACAGCATTGCAGGTCAGCATTGTAGCCAAACAATATTCTCCATGGCAAAAAATGGGCACAGAAGAGCCCCCCCAAAGAAATGTGAATACACTGCAAATGTCATCATCTACGATCTGCGTTTGTTCATTAGCAGGCTAAGTGCGTTTGCACGGCCAGTGATAAGAGAGTTTTTATGCAGGCTCTGTTCTTTCATTGATGACATAACAGGATGTGCCATGATGGCACTGTTGTTTGGCACTGTTCACCAAGATCAAGGTTGTGGGTTTGATCCCATCTCAGCAGCTGCATATCATTGGTTCTAAAAGAGGAATGCTAGGTTACATAAATTCGAGTGCGTTTCAGTAAACCTCAGGTGATCTAAACCAATCCAAAGCACCCTACTACGATGAGTCTCATAACCAAACTGTAGTTTTCGCATATGAAAAGGCCCCGTAGCACTTTTTCAGCATCGTTAGAAAAACAGCTGTTTATCGGAAACCGACACTCCTGAAAACACGCTAAGCAACACATTATAGCGCAGCACACGGCCTGGAGTTTACTATTACTTCATCAAGTCAGCCAGAAATCATTCCCTCCTCTTTCTGCAGATGATGCCATGTACCATATCCACACAAATGTATATCGACTCGAATGTAGGTCGACCCCCCTCTAAAATCGCACAACAAAACAAAAGGAGCACAAGCACCATTCATAAGAAATATTATTTACAATGTCTCCGAAGAAAATAGTCGAATTCTGGAGTGCCAAGGTGGAGTCACGGCAGTGCCTGAAAGTTGTGCCGTGAAGCTGTGCGGGAAAACACAGAGACTATTTCTTTTCTTTCTCGACACCCCCCCCCCCCCCCCCGCCCCCTTTCGAATTTCAAATTGAGGCGAAATGGGTCGATGTACAATCGTGTAAATACGATACTCAAATAACCTGACCATATACCCAAATTCACAGCCGATGCCTGATTTGAGCACTGTGAGCTGCATGGTTACTGCTGCCGCCACAGTAGGGCATCACATGCCCACCCAAAATTGCACTTAAAGTAAGCCACGTGTTCAAAAAAAGAAGTGGTCCTGGTTATCATGCACACGTGATGCAACTTCTTTTCATTGTGCCACCCCTCCCTGCTGATCTTCCAACACAGTCTTAGGAACAGAAGAGCGAATACCATTGCAGCGTGCGACAAAGCTCTGTAGCTCCGCTCGTACTTGAGAGATTTTTTTAAACATTTGCGGCAATGATTCGTGAGGCAGTAAATCCCTTAGCAAGGACATTTGATGTTTACTTGGAAGAGTGTTAAAGTAAGCCTACAGTTCAGCAGGAGGAGAAAAGGAAGGACAAGGAGGTTATCCAGTACTTAGATTGGCTGGCTACCATGTGCTGGGGAAAGGGGCAAGCACAATAAAAGATGACAGCACAATGCTTCCAGTGATAAGAGCAGCACTGATTGTAAACTTGGAAAGCACCAGAAAGAAGAGTTGACATTCTGTCGCTTTCACATATGTAGTCTAAATGTAGATACATGAAATTAATGGCCATAAGCAAACGTAAATTCTCTATTACCTATTAGCTAGTATAATCACGTGCTCACAATGAGTATCGAATTTAGTGACAGCATTAAAGCGACAGCGTTAAGGATCCTGTGTTGTAGAAATTGTGGCATTGTGCAGAAAGTCCCCGTAGATCCAAAGAATAAAAATCGGGGTACGAGCTGGAATCGAATCAGGCATTCTGTGTCGCAGTGAAGTACTCGATCACAAATCCACAGAATTCTTCAAACTGCTTTAAAAAATAAAAATAAAGAACCTTCACGGGTGTCACATCAAGCAAGCAATCAAGTTAGCAATGTAATATGTTGCATGGTAGAACTGTGAAATCGCATTGGGCATGACACATGAGGATTGCATGAAGAGTTGGTGATTTAGAGAAGCTCACCCTTACAGAGGGCTCAGCCATAATTCATCGGAGGCATTATCAGCCATAGCATCACCAAAGTCATGTAGCTACACAGTGCCTAACAGACACAATGAGGGCACTTGGCAATATGATAAGTCGAGCCGCAGTCAGTGGGTACTTCGCAAATGTACTTGCAGTATGCAAGCTAGGCCAACTGAACAGGGCAGATACTTTTTTTGTTCTCAACACGACTGAGGTGTTCACAGCAATGTGAAGCACAGTAAGCAAATTTAAGGGTGATGCATACAGGACCGAATAACGCCATTATGCTGCTCCGTTAAAGTCAGAGCTTGTGTAACTTCGAAGCTTTTTTTACAGAAAAAGCCGTTATGAAATCACAACAGCCACCGTGCCCATAACCACTCCTAGCATGCAAAATGATAAATATATAGGATCGAGTGGGATTTTAACCCAGGCCCTCTGCAAAGCAGTTAAGTGGTGCACCACAGAGAATGCCAGTGCCTAAGTTTCTTTGCAAAAATACCATGATGTGACATAGGTGTCACATCATGCAAGAAACCATGTTGACAGTTGCAATATAGCGTGGTAGAAGCGTAAGATAATAACTAGACACCACACAATACAAAGTGCATAACAAGTTGGTGGTTTTCCCTTCTATTACCAAGCACAGTACCATAATCGTTTATTGCGAAGGGGGTCCGCCCTATTTACTGCTGACACACAAGCCAAGCCTACGTTCTAGCCGCACACAGTCGTACCGTGCATAATTAACGTCCCCTTCCACTAGCGCCGTCATCGCAGCTACACGGGTTCGGCTGAATAAGGCAAAAAGCTAGGTTAACAAAACAACACTTTATTGCTACATTAGCAATAACGTGTAAATGTTGCGGAGAGGGACTGTCTGTTTTGGGAAGATAAAGGGTAACTTACACCTTTGTTCGTCGATGTCCTTGGCTCGCAGGAGGTATCCGGGGGTTGTCCTCGTCTGGTGGCTGGTGCAAGAGAGACCTCCCACAGTAGACGCACTCGTTTATTCCTCTGTTCCAGTTTCCCTCTCCCTGACGAGGGTTGGTTCCTTCGCTGAGGGAGGGTAACCCGTTCCGTGAGCCAGGAAAGTGAAATAGCGTCCGCCAGCCGTGCGATGCCCAGTCCCTTCGCAAGAGGCTTTACTAACTCGTTTCTCGAAGGGACTGGTATGTCCTCACAATGAGGCTGCCGTGCTGCCGTAAAAGGGAAAAGATCCATGGGTGCACGTGCTTCCTCACAATTTTCATCGGCCACAGCACCAACAAAGAGCACTGGAGTTTACAACAGGCTCTAGAAAGGTCACACCTCTGGCTTTTGTTGGGACTGCTGCATGTTCGGTGCTAGCCCGTTTTTGTGTGTGTGTGTGTGTGCGCGTGCATGCGTGTGTGTGTGTCGCTGCTTTATCACAGCATAATCTGACTTTCCATATCTAAATGAATGTCGAATATATTCTAGGTCATGACTGCCAACAGCTTCCAACATTCGAATGACGAACCGATCTATCCACTTCACATTTAGGAAATCCATCACACATTCTTGTAATTGCCAAACTCAGATGCAAACCATTGACCACTTGTCAAGTAGCAATATAAAAGGAAAGGAGGCGAATTGTTCAAGGAGCTCATTTTTTTGTCAGACACAACTAAATCAAACGTCAAGGACATTTGTCTTTTTGCAAAGGCGTAAAGATGAGAATATATATAGCTTCATCCTGCAGGATCAAAATTGTCGTACTAACACATCCTGATAATTAACGTTTGGTAAATCGAAGCACAGTTCCATGCACGTGACATAGCCAAGTCTGTGCTTATCCCAAGTAGCCTTGTCTTTCAAGGCTGTGTCTGACGTTTATGACATATTGGGCTTGAAATGACTGTTCTTGTGTGTTTCTACTTCCTTTTCAAAGACACGCAGTGAATTAAAGTGAATAAAAAAAACCTCATATTTATCAGTTTTTATTTACAGCTTCCAACAACACTTTCTATTCAAATGTCTTAGAATATCACCACAGTAGCGCAGGCTCCGAATGTGAAGAAGCAGCATGTCTGAATAAACAAAATGAAATGAGCTGGCCATTTTTTTTTTTTTCAGGTATTTACCGGGGTTACACAAGCTTCAAGTTCCGAAAAATTGATAGCATGTGCGATAACTATGAAAAGCAGTACTCAAGACATGTTTTCAATCAGACCAGATGTCGCATTGATGAAAAATTTTTACCAAAAGCAATCTCGCTTTTCAACCCACGAATGCTTTTTAACCCACGAATCAAACATTCACAACCTGCTACTTGCACTAGTTACAAAATCACCAGGTTTGTAAAAATCCGTAGCTTCACTTCCTGTAAATTCATTTATGTCAGCCCGGATTCATTTATGTCAGTACAGTGCAAGCTTGGCATGAAAATGATTACAAGCTGATGCAGGCAGTGCAAAACAGGAGAATTGTGTGGATTAGTACCTAGACACCTCCCCCCCCCCCCCCCCATCCCTCACAGTCACGTCAGTCTGGTACCTTCAAAGTACTGGTCCAAACACTCTCTTCAGAAATGCAAGCATGTCAGGCGAGCCAGCACACCAACCACCATCCAGTGTTGTTGTACGCCACACCGTGCGGCGGAGGTATGCAGGGCAGCGTTTCAAAGTCACGTCTTTTTCTTGCTTATGGGGGAGGAAGCCACACGTTCACAGTCTTTCTATTTAGAACAGGATGGCCCCAAATCCGAACGTTCTCTTCATGCTCTCCCAGTAGTGACGCTGCCAACCGTCTCGCGTGCGGTCCGCTTCTCCCTGCGGGACCCCCTCCTGCGTCAGCGTCACCTCGGTGCAGTCCGCCTTCTGCTCGATGTTGATGGTGACGTCGGAGTAATGGCCTTGGGGCCAGCTGCCAAACCGCCACCGCATGCGGATCTTCTTGTCAGGAATCTGCATGAAGCATGCAAGTGCGGCTTTTAGAGTGATAGCTCTCAGAGTTATACGATAGGCTGGCTTTTGCCACACTCCAACTAAAGTTACAGCAAGGAGAAGCCACTCACTAGTTCTACGAAGGTTCCGCTGACATTGCCGCCAAAGAGCTCAAATCTGCCTCCGTTCTTGGCCTCAAGCACACACGAGCTTTGGCTGAATGCCTGCACCATCTGCATAGTCACAGGAAGAAAAAAACTGCTCATAACAAATATGCTAGAAATAAACAAAAGTGATGCATACATCCAACCTATGCTTGAATGTGAATAAAAAACTGCAGTTTTGCTGTAAGGACGGAGCGATGAATGTGATAGCAACAACTTGGAATGTTATACTAAGTAAGACTAGAAGCTTGATTGGAATATTTGGTTAATTAGAAGTCAACAAAATGTCCTATCAATTTTACATGCTTACCTACAGGAAAAAAATGCTCAATAATTCGAAGTTAAAAGCTCGTAATGTTGGTTAATTTAAAGTTATTTTGTAGTCGAGAGCCTTTGGACAACCGTAACTTTCAATAAAATAGGGAATCTTTCTGTGCCAGTACCGCCAAGACAATGGTTGGACATATGATGTTGTCACCATCACCACAGTTCATGAAGCGGTCCTGTTTAGACAACGCCGGGCTATTGATCACATCGGCTAACTAGCTATTTCGTTGTAATGTGTCGAGTGCTTCAGCAGCGCGTTCGGTTGAAGTCTGGTTGAAGTTTGAACAGCGTGACTGGACTCTGGCGGAGCAGGACGCCCAAACACACACACAGTACTGTGTGTGTGTTTGAGTGTATTGCTCTGTCCGTGCCAATTTGCACTGTTCAATCATAACGTGATAAACCAACCAATTCGCTAACGCACTGTGGGTTGATTCCACAAGTATTTCCACAGCTGATTTTGAGTGTTGAGGCGGCGACATTTTATAATGGCAACTCGTGGCCCCCACTGAACGCTTGTCCTGAATACGAAAGTCGTAAGTCCTGAAAGAAATTGACCAGGGAGCCACCACTACCAAGCAAGACATCGCACTAAGTACTGTGTTACGCCTAATACGCTCTGAAATATTAAGTGCAAACAGGTAATTCTCGCCAGAACGACGGTGAAAAAAAAAAAAAAAAAAGAGCAGATGCAACAGCTTTGGGTTCTATGAAGAAAGACTCCAGTCGTTCTACTGTAGCATTGTGCATTGCCACAAACAAAAAGGACTTCGATTTTACCGATTCCCGTAGCTGTCGTGATGCATAATTGTGAGAGCGCTGAATACGGGCCGCTGCGAACGTGTTGGGTAAGCTGATTTCTTGCATTCTCCACAGCCAGTGGCATGAGAAAGTGTGATAATGTAGGTTTCCTATTATTGTTTTGAGTAGCCTTGACGGAGAACCATGGTAACTTTGATTATGAAGCTCAGCAAAGCCTCTGACCACGGTGTGGTTATGTTTCGTGGAAGACAATGCGGAAGAAGCACTTCGGCATGTATAGTGCTTGAAAAACTTGCTAGCTGCAGCCAGGTTCCGCAAAAGAAGATGACAGACTATCTTCTTAAAGAACCGTCAGGTTTGAAGCAATAAAAGTGCAGTTTTTTTCTGCATTTTGCTTAATTCAAGGTCCGTTTAATTTGAAGTTCATTTGCAGTTCCTGTGAACTTCGTATTAACCGAAGTCGACTGTACCGCCCGAGCAATGCAGCCCCAGCTGGCACCCCTTTATGCTCCCTTACCCGATAGAACCACATAGCGCTTTTCATCTCTGATTTACTTGCACAAGTATGCAGCCTTCGCAAGCTTACACGTGCACATAAAACACATGACACGCGAGGCAATGTTATAAATTTGGGAAAGAATGCACACAGTTTAAATACTATGCTTGAATCTGAGTCAATAAGTGGCCATGGTATTGATAAATCACAAAGGGTCAATTTTAGTATGGGCCAAAGGAACTCTGCGCATTTACCTCCTGGACCGTCAGGGCCCGGTAAAACTCTTCGGCTGTGCACTTGAAGGTCTCCGCCTGCGTTATGCTCGTGGTGTCCACTTTGACGAGGCTGGACGCCTTGTCGCCCGACGAGCCATTCAGTGGCTGCAATATGAGAAGACAGTGCAAGGATCAAAATCAAATATGATCCAGCAAAAATACCAAGTACTAAGCCATGTTCACTTGTTTTGTAATTCCTTTGTTAATTATTCTTTACAAACTATGGGCAAAATTTTGTAAAAAGCTAGTCTAAATCTATAAAACTAATTTCGCTCAAATCTCGAAACAACGAGCCTGAATATAACAAATTTTTAGTTATAACGAAGCGAAGAATAGTCTTGTTATAGGCATAGCATTACTGCTAAATGCTCATAACAAATTTTTAGATATAACGAAGTTACTTTTGTGGCAGATGTAAGTTTGTTATCCTGGAGTTCAAGAGTATATAGTTATACTGAAGAAAAAAGAAGACCCTTGTGTACTGTGTACTACCTGCTAAAAGCATCAATTAAGTATGGTATATATAAAAGCAATTGAGAGTAATTATGTAGAATTAAAGAATTGATGCAGGGTCTTTACTGCACAAGCTTCATAATATAGATGCAACAGAACAGAGCTGGTGAACCCACTAATTCACTGTTTCTCAAGATCACAGCAATGATACAAATGTACGACTTACAGTGAAGTTTGTAAACTACAACAATCGCACAGGTATTATATGGGGTGTGCACACATGCATAATCAGGAAAGAAACTATGCTGTGTCTAGAATCAGCTAATAGCCCCTTAAGAATATTACTGTGGTTTCTACAGGACAGCAAAAGCGTTCTACACCTGAATGGAAATTCCCCCCCAAAAAAATCACAGCATATTCACAGAGTGAATGATGATGAGTGGGGCAAAACGTCCGTCAGTCCGTCCATGCTTCCATGTGTCCGTGCGTTCTTGCTTTCATCCGTCTGCGCGACCATCCGTGTGTCCACCCATCCGTCAGCTAGTCTGCCTATTCGTCCATCCATGCGTCTACCTAGTGGACACTCCAAATACCCCCATCTACCATCTCGCATCTTCTGTGGCACATGCCCACCCTAGAGCGGGTATATGCCACCAGTGGCTACATAGACAACATAGGAGGATGTGCCTTAAGGAGCTTCGCCCCTAAAATGATGCCCTTTTTTTTTTTTTTTAGTGGCACTGGCACCATTTTTCGGGAAACTTATGACTAGCCCACAAAATCTGGAGTATTGCCTGAAATTTCGGTCTCTCGGGCAAATCAGGAGAGTTGGCAGGTACGGCTAGTTGTTTCGTTTCTATAATTTAAACCATTGCACAAGTGAGCTACATTAGTTGTAGCCTAACCACTTATGACCACAATTTCAAGACACAGTATCATGAACGAAATTAAACGCGACGTACCGATTGCTTGTAGTTGACCGTCGTCTTGCCCGTTGACTTGACCTGGTTGATGGAGTCGCTCTTCGTGGGCAAGATCATTCCTTGTGAAAATTCTGTACAAGCAGAAAAGGTAGCTGTCAGGTTGTGAACCATGAAAATCTGCAGGCATGCTATATTAATGGCTTGATCTTAACCATTTTTTGTAATTTACAGAATACCTGGATTGCCTCAGTGGCACCATTACAGGGAAGACAGTTCTATTACCACGTGCTACATTTCTTACAGTAGTAAGCAGGAAAACGCATTGATAAAGGGTAGAATCAAGTTAAACAAGGTGAAATCGGCAATAAGTCGGGATTCTTAAAGGTAACACAAAATTAAGGCAAAACTAGGGCAATACATTACTATAAACACAGTTGGGAATAAAAATCATGATTGTCAGATATATAAGCAAGGCTATTAGTGGGCATGCAGTACTGCACTACGCAGATAACGACCTAAAGGAACTGCTGCTTCGAAAAAAAAAAGAAAAATGCCACCACAGAATAGTGAGGAACGCAACATACCTTTCTTAAGTGCCGAAATGTAGTCTTCTAGCCTTTCTCGAATTATTTTGGTGCCTTTATTTCTCATAAGCTCCTTCAATGCTTCGGCCTTGTCACCTTTGGATGAGACAGTCACTGTCACCTGAAAAACATTTTAAAAAAAGACATTAACTTAACAACCGCCACTCTTTTTGTTTTCCTTCATTGAGCACTGATGCTCAGTCACCTATCCTGCCGAGGAGGGGTGATCCCTTGGCAGGAGGGGCGACTGAGCATAAGCAATAATAGGTAATGCTTTTTTTTGGAATCGGTGTCACTAGGGGCACTGACACAAAAACTTTGGCCTCGCGTTTTTCTGCTGCAATATGTTGCTGGGGGCCTGTTAGTCATGACAGGACACATAATTTGCTGCAGCACGTGACAGATAATTAATTACAGGCCCCTCATTATCAGTCAGTTTCAGTTTGAGAGAGTTTCGAAAACAGGGTGCAACTGTCGCCACCTAGCGTGTGCAGCTCTTGACCACGTCAGCACACAGAACTGTGACGCACTTCCGCACAGTCCACATCAAGAATTACTTTCGAATAAGAAATGGGACTGGAATGTCACCAAAGACAAAACTTTCTAAGCGTGCGCCACGGCCACGCACCCGCAACCAGCCGCCGAAAAATATAGACTTCGGGAACTAACGCAACAAAAAAAATGGCGGCTATGACGTCATCATAACTTGTTTTGTTGACTGCAGCGTGGCGACGTCAAGGAAGTAGGGGGTCACCTCAGGGTCACCTCCGAGAATGTCTATAGCACTATGGAGTCGGTCGCTCACGCAAACTTCAAAATTAATTTAAAATACCTTGCAAGCTATATTCGCTGTTGATATCTTGCACATGAGATACTAATGTTCACGAGAATCGACCCCGCAGGCTATCTCGGCCCCGAAACTTTGTGTCAGTACCCCTTTAAATAAAGCAGCAAAGAAGCTTCAATCAATTCGGATGAGCAAAGAATGAACCTAGTGACGAGGCTTATTTGAGGATGCGTTAAGTCTGATCAAGTGTAAAAGACATTGCTTTTACAATCAACCCTTATCACATGAAAACCCTATGTACACAAAATGCCTTAGATACTATATAAAACACTCATCACATAGTAAAAGAAACACAGCGCGATGACAGAAAAGAAACTGAGGAGACAGGACAGCCAACAATGCCAGCCGTTGCTCCCAAGCAACGGCTGGCATTGTTGGCTTGACCGGTTCGTGCATGTGTGACGTCGACAAACACCGCCTCCTCTAGTTCACGTAACAGCCGCTATACATGGCAATTTGTGATAAACGGTTTAAGTTCATTATTTTCCTGTAGTTTCTGCCTGAAATGAAGGTTGTCTCTATCGATTTCAGGACCCAATCTTTCAATTCGGCCGAAAATGTTGGCGGCAAAAATTTTTGTTGGGTACTCCTTCGAGCAAACCAGACCACGAATATGAGCCACTCACGTCCACGTCACTGGGGTCGTGCTCTTCGCTGAGGTTCGGTATTTCCACCTTTCCCTCGATGGTCTCGTCGCTGTCGTCAGGCTCACCCTGCCACTTGAGTTCGATGGCCCACTCATAAAAGAAGATGAGCTTTGCCTTCCGGTTGTTGGCAGAGGCCTCACCTTCGCAGCTAGTCATTTCCACAATCTTGCAGGTTCCTAAAAGAACAGGTATCAAATGGGCACATATTTACTTAACATAGCTGTCACTTGTACTCTGAAAAACTTCCCGGATGCATAGCATGCCTTAAAGGGGTGCCAACACCAATTTTTAAGGGCGAGCTTACGCAACCATACAGATCTTATGTATAAAGGGACGGCTCTGAGAAAGTGTGCAGCTTAGTATATTTTAGTGTGCAGCTTTATAGCATCAACATTACAAGGACATCAACGTACAGCATCAATTCTGGTGACTTCATGCACCATAATGGCTCGTTGCGATAACGTGTGTGAAAACGTATAATGTGGCCGCTGGGGCAGCACTAAAAACATTCGAAATGGCTGCCGGTGTATCGCCAACGCAGCTGAATAGATGTGGAAACGTCACACTATCTTGTGCGAGTATGTGGCGAGAAGCTCATACCGTGTTGTCACGTCAGCTTACAGTAGGAGCCGAAATTGGCTTTTGAAAACATCCTGTTATTACATTTTTAGACAGTGCACTCATGCTTAGCAGTACACGTTTTCTAGGCTCCTGTCGACTTCATATTTCATTTGATGCAAATACAAAAGAAATGAACACTAAAATTATTACTCTTTCAAAGATTTTTTAGCCCTATGTACCGTGTTCTTGCTAAGTCCTCATTCTAGTAGCACCTCTCTCTTCATGAACATACGTGCTCTGCAACTTAAAAATAAGAGATATCAGTGGATGACATTAAAATGCTACGAGTTGAATAGAAGTAAACGATATGGATGCTGTTACGAATGGCATTAGGTAAATTTCAATGAACTAGAGCATTTCAGCCCTTGACAAGATGTAAGTGGCTCATCAGTTCTATGAAATCCGCAAGGTGGGCAAGTGTTCAAAAAAAAAAAAAAAAAAAGGTCATCTTAAAGCAGCACAGAATCACAGAGGTCAGCTATGCAGAATCTCATGACCTTTTATGAAAAAAAAAAACTTGTTTTCATTGAGTGAACAAAGCAAGAATCAACTCCTCTCTGGCAATCAGGAATGATGTTCAGCTAGTCTATTTGTAGTTTCAACAATAATTTAAGACTGAAAAAGATGGGGTAAAAACAGTAACACAAAACGTAGAACTTCTCAGTAAATTTACTTCATGAAGGCAAGCGATTTATAGGTTCTTCAAAATTGCAAAACATAAGCGCAAAGATCAACTGCAACGATATTATTTATTGAATACCAAGGATATGAGTACACCACGTACACGGGATCAACCTGATGTGCCCGTATAAGGAGCGCGATTCTGCGCTTGCTAGTGAAATGGGTGGCTTGCATTGATGTCACTGAAACCTACATATTGTAGCCCAAGCTTGGGGAGATGCAATGTTGCATGAATGTTATGGCAACATCACACGGAGGTTCTTTCGCTATTCTAGCACAGAAGCGTTACATTAAAGCAAGTTAACCGCAACTTTGTCATCAAAGCTGCCACTATGGAATGCCAGCGCATTCAGAAGCTATGTCCATGACATCACATGCAAGCCATCCAAAGAAGAAGTGCTTGCACAGCTATCTCGCCTTAGTTTAGCTATATTGAAGAACCTATAAATATGAATCACCTGTTGGAAGTTGATAAGTTGGAAGTTTGACACTTTGTGCATACCTTGGTGTCCCTGTTTTCAAGCAGTTTTCTTTGTGCGGTTTCAAAATTTTTTCTGAACCCTTTTTGGGGCAGTTCTTGCACCATTCCTAGCTTAACCAGGAGGTGCTGCAACTGTGGATATCAAATGAATTTAACTTGAAGCACAAGAAAATTGAAAATTTAAGATCAATTGTGTAGGTAACAAAGAACTAATGAAAGACAGCAAGGTGGCGAAAGCAAAGAATTTTACGATTTTTCGTACATTCCTACCACTCTCCGATTTGTAACTGTTCGCCATCAGTAGTGTTCGCCATCAGTGGAAAAAGGCCCTTCTGGTGATTCGGATGCTGGATTGTGTGACACAAAAAATAAACACGAACACTTCAAGTTCGCGCAGTACAAACTCGAATTGTAGCAAAAGTATCTTGTCTTCCAGTCGCAGAAGAAAGCAGTCGCTGCTGCGAGCACAAATCGAACCCGCAACCTTCCGTGAAGCAGACGACAATGTCACTCGTTTTCAACAGTTCAAGTGCGTCAAACTGAACATATGCGAAAGAGTTTAGAATCGGTAACGTTAGCCGCTCAGCGTGTGCGCTTGAACGAAGTTAAGAGCAGTGTCGAAGCAGTCAACAACACTAATACAGCAATCAAGGTAGGCGTCACTCAAGGCATAGAAGCAAAGCCACAAACACTGCGCCGCCGTGGATTACTTCTGGAAATTCGGCAAGGGTTTGGCGTAACAAGCACCAGGAACACCCGCAACAAGCACCAGGAACCGGAAAAGAAAAAAAAAATAACACACACACAGAAGGAATTGAAGCTAAACTTACCTCTCGAGTCGCTCACTTCAATGTTTGTGAGAAGCTCGGTAAGCTTGTCCTTGGACCAATACGAGGCATTCTTTTCGGTCCTAAAACAATGGGAAAGACACCGATGTCGATCACTTTCCCATTCATTCGAGCGAGCAAAACTCGCGCGCGCCATGCGCACACAATGTCGAGGCAGATTCGGTGTTTTATACCTTATAACTGAAGAAGTTTATTTACACGGTGTTCGTAGTAAGTACCGGCAAAATGCATGCTCAGCGTGGGAAGCTTACCAGTGCCAGTTGTTCACGTTGGTGGCGTCGGGCCTCTCTTCGACGATCCAGCGTGGGTCACCTTCGCCCCATTTGGCCATGCTTTCCTAGTGGCAGGTGGCAGCGTCCACAAGCAAGGCTTTACTCCCCGATGAATCGAGCTTCGCTCAGCAAGAGAAACTACGCAGACTGCGGCTTGCGCCGACGCTCGGTACCGTTCCCAAGGTGCGGGAGTCTAGAAAATTCGCGATCTCGCTGGGCACTCGCTTTCGCGGAAGACATGCAACGCCGCCCTGGCGTCACTTCAGTGGTCAGGTCGCAGCCGCAGTAGCGTAGTCGTGGCGTTTTTGTGTTTTTTTTTTGTAAGAGGAGGTGTTATAAAATACAAATTTCCGGCTATAATTATATTTGTGTCTTGGTGTAACGTTTATAATACTACTTAAAAAAAAGGTAGTTTGGCAACGTTTTTGTATTAGTTTGAATTATTCAAAAAAGTGCAAATTTCACTATCTTTGAACAATGATGCAAATTAACTCCAGCCAAATTGTTACTTTAAAATTATTGTAATAAACAATGAACAAAACAATAGACCAAATATGTATATGTAACATCAAAATTTCTTGGTGACAACGTGGGCGACGGTGGTATAGTGGTTAGCATAGCTGCCTTCCAAGCAGTTGACCCGGGTTCGATTCCCGGCCGTCGCACATAGTTTTTTATTCATATTAAAGCATAACACAGGAATTGCAAATGATTTTTTTTTTATTATTGCTTTATCTTCCAATGCACGAATCTGCAAAGAAAAGAGGAGCATTTGAAACAGCCAGCTCGCTACTTGGGTGATATAGGTTTTCTGTGGTGAAGATACATCGCTCACCTTCAGAGGTGGGGATTCTCCAGCAGAATCCTGCGCAGGCGATAAGAAGTGAGGATCAGAGTGGCCTGCAAGAACAATATATATATTGGTTTTAATTTATCGTTTCTGTCTTTTCATTTGACTGAATCGGGCCATTCAAAGTACAGCTGATCCACATCACACGCAGAAAGCGAAGGCATTTCACAAATATGCCTACATGCAGACATTCGTGAGGTAGCCTGCAACAATACCACATTCGTCTAATTTATGAACGTAGTGCCCATTCATTCATCCATTCAATTCATTTGCTCGTTTACTCATTTGGCGTTTGTTTTATTGTGCGATACGTAAAACCAGTGTCCTTTGGACTCTGGTAAAACATAAGTCTCGGAATGTAACTCTTGTAGAAAATGTCTTAGGCAACGAAAGTTAATTTTCTCTCTATTGTTGTTTGACACTTGGAAAACGCGGGATGTTGCGTACGTCGTGCCAATCTTTTAAAACAGTATCACAGTTTACTACATTGATGACTACACCAACACACGTCAGCAATGAAAAAGTTGAACATTTATCGAAGCAAATGCTTGTGGCGTGCCTGGGCACTTCGGGCATGTGTGGCTTCAAACGCCGCAACACCCGTTCTGGCGTGGTCTAGTGGTTAGGATACCTGGCTCTCACCCAGGAGGCCCGGGTTCGATTCCCGGCGTCGGAAAGGTTAGGGTCTCATGGTGTAATGGTTAGCACTCTGGACTCTGAATCCAGCGATCCGAGTTCAAATCTCGGTGAGACCTTATCTTTTTCTTTTTTTTTGATGGCAATGTAAATAGCGCATAGCATGATTCAAATGTTTCAGTTCATCATTCATTCGTTTTGTGCTGATTCATATTATCATGATCATCCGCAAAGCCCTACTCTCATGGTCCGCGCACTCCGATTGCGCCAAAGAAATAAATATGCATTGTTTGATCAATCTGTGGGCATCATAGGACGTAATTTACGTTATTATTGTTCTCTGCTTTGGTCTGTATTAAAAATAAGTTAGTTCAACCGACTTACAATAGATGGCGACACAGTTCACAGTTTATCGAAAAACGCGCAAAGTTTGAAGGGTGAGGCACGAGTTCGCGATATCTATCGTCCCACTGCGATTAAAAAGATGTGCTACACGATGAGGCCCAGTCCTTTTCATTTTTTTTTTTTAAGGTTGCGCCCTTTTACAGCAGTTTTTCTGCTAAAATATCAAAGGTTGGAGCAAGCCAGCTGAATTTTTTGCAAGAAACGGACGCTACACGACCATCGGCAGATAATATGCAATTACGTATCGGATAAGCTGCGGCAGTACTATAAATAAAAAAAGAAACATCAAAGACACGAATGTGTTCCTGTTATTCACTATATAATCTGTAAAAGCACACTCCAGATATCGGTGCACGCAATGGAAACATGTAGGTAGGTCTGATCATCGAACTCGTGTAGGAAAACGCATAGTCACACCACTGGGAAGATGGAAAAGGGTTCGGTGATGGTGGGCTGCACTCTGGCAGCGACAGCATTCCCGCCATGGCACAGAATGAATTGAATGAATGAATTCGTGGTTTCTTGGAAAAGGAAGAAGGCACTATTTTCTGCAGCCCTTGCGGGAGCACGGCTCAGCGCCTTCTCGGGGATGGGAGGAGGGGGGATATGAAAGACTATAGGAAAGATATAGTTAGATTAAGAAATAAGACAGGCAAGCGAGAGAAAAAGAAGGAGATATGAAAGTTGGGAGCCGGTCGATGAAGTCCGAGGACGGGGCACCACACGACGAGGGCGTCACGGCGTCAGGAGGTCGTGGAGGGTGAACCAGTCGTCGATAGCTATACGCTGGCGTCGGAGATCGCTGGCGGCACAACCGTTCAGCTTGAAAACCTCCGAGCAACTCTCATGGAACAGAGACTCCCCAAAAGGGTGCGCAATGTTTTCGCACTTTGCAGCTATCATTGTGACAAGCGTTTCCGGCGTTCTTCATTCAGAGGAGCGATGCTTCGCTGTATACGCCAACTACAAATTACTACAAATAACGCATTCCCCATACTTTCTTGGTTTTCTTGTCTGCTCGTTCCGATTGACGATGTGTCGTCTAAAAAAAAAATCATCTTCTTTTGTTCTGACTTTGTTTATGAATACGAGCGCCGAACAAGGACACACGACAACAGGAACAAGCATGTTGATGACGAAGGAGAGGGGGACAAAATCATGCGATTGTCAAACCCACCCCCTTCATATAGTGCGCGCGCCTATGCATACCAGGCCGTGCTATATAACGAGAAACTTACGAGCCAGATGGTGACGCAGACGGCGCAGAAGATCACCGAGGGCATGAGCATGTTGAAGTAGTCGACGAGCACGTCTCGGCATCCCTGCTCGTGGTACTTGAGGCAGGCGCCTTCCGAACTCTCCACTACGCAGCACGTGCGAGGCACAAACGACCGAGATGCCGACGTCCTACGACGGGGCACAGATGAGGGTTTACTCGCTTGAACTTTCGCAGTCGATTCGAACACAGTGACGGCTCAGAATCAAAGGCCCGCCTAAAATGACATGTCTCTCCCAACAACGACATAACAAAATGGATTCTTGTGGACTCCACACGGTGAAGTATTCTAAGGTGTTTTACCGCGTTATTATGAATTCTCTTTATAGTCGATACATGTACAAGAGTGCTTAGAATTTACTTTTGTTAAACTTGATCACGGGATAGACGGTGGATCTGTCCGTTGGCCATGGTTCAGGCCACATTTCTGCACATTTACCATTAGGTTCCCTTCAACCGCGCGATAACAGACGAGAGTCGAGCATGCGCGCAACGTACTTGCGTCCTCCTCCAGCATGATCGGCGACGGCCCTGGTGGCCATAGTCCAGTCGGTGTAGTTGCGTATACCGCAGCACTTGAACTCGCGGTGCAGGCTGTCGAGCTTGTCGCGCGACGAGGCGTCCACGAAGTACTGGTACATGGCGTACTTGAGGTCCTCGTCCACGTCCAGCCGGGCGCGCATCACGTACCGGTACACGATCGCCGAGCTCAGCGCCACGTTGACGATCACCACCGCGGCCATGGCGTTGAAGACGGCGCAACCGCGCGCCCCGCGCTCCGCCGACAGGCCGCCCTCCTTGACGCGGTCGCGCTTGCGCAGTCGCCACGAGATGAACAGCCCGAACAAGCTCACCACGAGAAGCACACAGCCGCTGCCCACTAGGAAGACGGAGACCTGCAGGTGCCACGCGGTGAGCGACGTGATCACACTTACACAGCTACACTATACTCGCCGTCACCGCGATGTCACGTATTAACTCCTATCACGCCACGAGCGCAGTATAGACCTTTCCACCAGAGAGATGCAGCTGGGCTGTCACCGCAGCCGACGTTTCAACCGCGGACTTCTCTGCACCTTCAAGATGTATTGCAAGTATACGCTTGTCGAAACGTCGCCTCCCACGAAATCCGGTGTTCACAAATTTCGCGTGTCTTCAAGCTGCCATTCTTTCCTGAACTTTCCTGAACTGCTGCCCCTTTTTTAGTTCTTCAGTACTGTTGCATAAACGCCTGTATACAAAGGTTGACGTCGCTGCCTCGTCAGTGTACTTTTCTTGGGAGTGCGGGTAATAGGGGTCGCGCATTTTTACAGTTCATCCCGGAGGGCAATGGCATCGTCTAAGTTACCCGACCGTGCGGTGACATGATTCAATCACTGACACTGTCAGAATATCGATGCTTATCTATCTATGCAACGCCGGACATAACCGTCCCCATCCATCATTCAAGTTTTACGGCGGTGGTACAACGTCTTGTATGGCGTTTTGTGCTCATACCAAGTGGCTCTTCCACAGGCGAGAACGACCTGAAGCACCCCATGTTAAGATATGGAAACTAGCCATATATAGGATACGGAAAGTCGTTATGGACATACGTCCTCCTCCTTTCCAAATGTTACATGTTCCTTTTTGCACAGGAGACTTTGGAGAGAAACCAATGCATATAGGCTCCCTTACCAGTGAGAGGTGGTGTCCTGGCATGAGGGCAAGGATGTGCCTCTTCCATCGGACTCCGAAGCTGGCGCCGAGCAGCGCGATGCCCACAGCCAGGGTGGCGACCAGGGCGTTGCCCCAGAAGAGCCCGTTGGCCAGCACGAGCCGCATGGCTCTGGGCGCCCGAGGCACGGCGGCTGCCTAGACACGTCCTCGGTTCAGCGGGCAGCAGTCTTGCTCCCTCCTCCTTCCATGGCGATTACCCACTACGGGCGTGAGCGCGAATCCAGGATTGTTTCCCTGGTGTTCCGCGGGCGCCGAGGTACCCTGTTCACGACATATCGCGCGTACGCTCGTCTGGTGGATACAAGATTAACCCTTTGATTTTAAAGCGAAAGCCATCAGAGATGAAAATGGCTGTTAGCATCAGCATGGCCGCTTGCAACAACAATAACGGCCATGTGATGACGTTACTTTTTCGACGTCACATATCGCCAATATGTGTGACGTCCCCGCACGAAGTCGTCACTTGGTAATGGATGGGGCGATCCTGGAGGCACATGAGGTGCAGAAGTTCGAAGTCGAGACAGTATAGTTTCTTTCCTCGCCTTCACACCTTTTTCTACAGGCGCTATTCTTGCTACTTTCTGCTTCATATAACTTGTGAAATGCGTGCAATAAACGTTTAGACAGTCAGGATTTTGACTCGCTCACTGGATTCCGTGCCGACCGGTTGTGCCCCAGCGATCTCCGGCGACAGCGCAGCTCTGGCTGAATGGCTCGCCCTGCGCCACCTCCTGACGCCGTGAAGCTCTCGCTGAGTGGTACTCCGTCCTCGCACTCCTTCGACCGTGTCCCCACCTGTCTCTATCTTCTCTTTACTTCTGTATGTGGGTGTCCTCGTCTCTATCCCTATCGCTTTTAATCCCTCCTTACTCCCATCCCTCGTGAACCACTGTTGAGGTGTCGCAGTATGATGCAGACAGTTACCGGCGCTCACTTTTATCTTCTTTTCTCTCTTTTAAGAATCACTTACAGTCAGGATTCTTCGTTTTGCGACTACATGGTGACAGTCTCCGCTTGCGCAGTATCAAATGTAGAAAACGAAGTGAAGTAAGTTTATCGCGCATGATTGTCATGCGAGACAAGGAAGAACGGGCACGCGACTGCATGACAAAACAGGGTACAGGTTACGATTCGCTACAGATATAGCTCTAGCATATCGACCGATGGATCGATAGCTTATTTCATCCTGGCGTCACTTGAACAATCTGCTGGCGTCACGAACTGTGCCGCAAAGAGGGGAAACGCAAAGGGAGAATGAAGTACTTGTTAGTGGTATTTTTAGAGGTTGCCTTTCCCCCCTCCCCTCCACGTGAAAAAAAAAAAGATGGCTTTCACATTCGTTGTCTTAGGCGAACGCAGGAGGATCCGTGAGAGTTCTTTTTTAGAGCTAGAAGCTCTTCGGAATAGAGTAATGTGCTAAAATTTTCGGATAGATTAGACAGACAGACAGACAGACAGACAGACAGACAGACAGACAGACAGACAGACAGACAGACAGACAGACAGACAGACAGACAGACAGACAGACAGACAGACAGACAGACAGACAGACAGACAGACAGACAGACAGACAGACAGACAGACAGATAGATAGATAGATAGATAGATAGATAGATAGATAGATAGATAGATAGATAGATAGATAGATAGATAGATAGATAGATAGATAGATAGATAGATAGATAGATAGATAGATAGATAGATAGATAGATAGATAGATAGATAGATAGAAGAAACTTTATCTTGTATCCAGCGTGTTCATGGGATGGGCCCCGCTTAGATGTCGACCAGAGTGCCTCGATGCGTTCGTTCGCCTCTGCTCCACGCGCATCAAGGCACTCTTTAGTGTCGGCTAGAAGGTCCCGCCTCCTAGCGGCTTCCTCGGCCCGCTGGATATATATGGATATTCGTCAATTTTGGCTCATCACGTCCTCAGTGGGGGGGGGGGGGGGAGGGCATTCTGCTTTTATGCCTTTACTTGATCGCCAGATCTCGTGAAATCGGAGTGACAGAAGTAAGCTATATGGTGACAAACGTGCCGGAGCCAAACTATAAATGGTGGAGGAGCAAACACACGCGTTCACCGATTGCGTAGTAAAACACGTATCACATGCAGGGGCGGGGGGGGAGGGGCGATTCATAAACGGGAAAGGGCCCATTGGCAAATGAACGATGCCACACTGTAACGACGCTCGCAGTATCGTCGTCATGCACGTGTGCCAGATGCGGCCGCAGATATACGTTCTCCCAATCAGTTTAAAGCAAACATCTATATACTCGCACGCACTGGTAGGGCTCGAGAGAACCCAGCAGCGAATGTTGCTCGAGGTCAGAAATGAAAGAAGGATTACATGCACCAGATTACATAACTCAGGACACAACCAGGTCTTCACGTCATAAACATAGTCGTAGCATTACACCTATATTTGCACGCACTAACATTTACAAGTATTCATTTTTCCCGAGAACTGTCTCTGATTGGAATGCTCTGCTCCATGATTCCCCTATGCTCGACACGCCGAGATGAAACTATACCCTTTTCTTGTCGCTTAAGTCTGCTTCTTTGCCTGTATATATGTGTCCCTTGTTTTTCACGAATTTTTAATGTACATGAATTTTCTTCTGCAGTGAATGTATACTGCAGCGGAAGTGTATGTATGTAGAAGAATTTTGAACTGTATTGCCCTCTCCTGCATGGACCATACTTGGTCCGCAGTATGTGATAAATAAATAAATAAATAAATAAATAAATAAATAAATAAATAAATAAATAAATAAATAAATAAATAAATAAAGGAGCGGAGAATCCACGCGTGCGTTTCGCGAACTCTTTTTTTTTTTTTTCACTATGTGCGCGCTCGTATTTCATTGCCTCCAAATCTCACATGCTCACGATCTTCATCAAAACAGCAAAATGTCTTCCGGGCACGCTCACAATCTTCATTTGAATTTTGTGAGCATGCACACGTAAGAGCTTCCGATGTTTTGGCGATTGATGCCGGTGCACGTGTTCTGATTAGATGGTTTGCACTGACGTCACAAGGACCACCATTTTGGTGAACCTCAATGCAAACGCAAGGTTTGTGGAGTCGCGTGTTAATGATGTCTTACATCACTAGCAAGTTCTTTTTGTTATTGACGCTCAGAGGCCAATCATGTTCTGGCCACATCTATATCGTATCGAAGCATGTTAAACGCGATGCGGTTATATATGTTGCGCCTGCGCAATCAAGGCCACGACGTTGGTGAACCAGTACGTTATCAAGCTGTGACCATGGTGTCGCGTGCAAGCTATCCGTTGTTTGGCAACGAATAAAACCATCGGAATGATTCTACAACATCTTTTTTTTCTATGGTTTTCGTCGCCATTAGCCGTCTGTATTAGCAGACGACTGCACACCAATCGCATCCGCCTTCATTAGCCGTCTGCACGTTTCTACCAATGGCGCTTTCGACCAATCGCTACTGGTGCACTTGGACCAATGCCAGACGGCTAATGGCGGCGAAAAACATAGAAAAAGCAATACAATTGTTCTGCTACTACACTCTAGTTGGTAGTTGGCGCCCTTCCTGTCTACTGGATATTTGTCTGTCTTCGTCCGCTTCGCGCCTAGGTGTTTCCACGAGGGACAACACTTGGCGCCTTTTCACTAGATTGTTCCTCCCTTCCCTCTGCCCCCTCCCCCTTGCGCTCGCCCATGTATAAATGAAGTTGGGACTGGGCAAAACCAGCCATACCACCGCCGCCGCCGAGTGGGAATTCTTTCCGTCCGACACATCAGCGCTCAACTACGTGGGCGGCTGTGGTGGGAAGAGACAGGAAGAACGCCCCCGGGGCACGACACTACGAACACCGGGCACAGCCGGGCGCGTTGCTTCAGTCGAGTGCTGTCGCACACGTGCGTAGCTCGGCCTTTAATAAATGTGTGCAGTACAGCGAAGTCTGTGTGGGACCACGACCGTTGTACGGCTGCAATGAACTTGTGCGATAACTCGTAACCTGAGCGGAAAGAGAGATACGGTGACCTGCCCGGCATAGAGTTAATATACTGTATAATAACTCTATGCTACCCGGGATGTTAGTCTAATGGGAGTGATAATTATGGCGTGAACAGCGATCACATGGACGCACTAATAGAGCTTACGTTAGCAGGCACACACATATGCACAAAGTGGTTAGTTACAGAGCGACTTGTAGAGTCGTTAGGTTGAAGCCAATTGTTTATACCGCTGATGTGGCTGTAACTGGGTATAAATTAAGCGCCTCGCATTTGAGTCAGAGTGACAGATTGGAAGCCGTGCGAGACTAGGAAATAATTAAGGCAGGTGAAAATTCGTATTGAGAACTCAAAGCTTGTATTGAGAAGTCAGCTGATATGGTATGGGTGTAATTAAAGATTGAGAGCATCGCAACCAAGGAGGTCAGTGTCATGCAAGGAACAGGGTTGACGCTGCTGACTAAGACAATGACGATGAACAGGATAAATTTGTGCTCACCTCAGTAATTAAATTTTCTTCTTATTAAAGGAACTAGTTTACGCGAAACAAATCTATCTATCTATCTATCTATCTATCTATCTATCTATCTATCTATCTATCTATCTATCTATCTATCTATCTATCTATCTATCTATCTATCTATCTATCTATCTATCTATCTATCTGTCTATCTATCACTGTCTGTCTGTCTGTCTGTCTGTCTGTCTGTCTGTCTGTCTGTCTGTCTGTCTGTCTGTCTGTCTGTCTACATCTGCAAAAGATTTCATCGCCTAGTTGGAATTACTAGATGATCGTTACTTTTGCCTTGTTGCCGCTATTGCATCGTCATCATATATAGTTTGTGTCCCTGAATAAATAAAAATAAATAAATAAATAAATGGATATCCCGAAAAAAATTCTTGCTGGTTGGCTAACGGTTCCGAAAATTCTGGTTTAATAGCACATTAGGCTACTGGAACCATGTCGGCGACGGAACCAACAGACCACGGAAAACGAACGAAGATATCATGTGATGATGTCATCCGGTGATGGAACGTCGTTTGATGTCATAGTGACGCAATAAGAAATTTTCTAAATATGTGACGCCTTCATGACGTTGTATGGTGACACCATCGCGTGATGACGATTACATTCGTGCTTGATGAGTCGTCGAAGACGTTCGCCCGAGTTTCGA